AAAAGAAATTTTCTTTCAAACTTTTGAAAAAAAATTTTCAGGGGAAAGTTCAGATAAATTCAGTTACTTGAAACTTTCCACTTCTTTTTATCTTCCATTTTCATCTTTCTTTTTTTCTTGATATACACTGATATGTACAGGGAGCATCTTGAGCAATCATAAATACAGAATTGAAAATGTTATTAGGCAGAGAGAGAGAGAGAGAGAGAGAGAGAGAGAGAGAGATAACGAAAAGCCGGAAGATGCTCACGAAGATGATGAGACAAGCATGGAATGAATGTTCAGGGGGAGAAGGTGTATATTCAGTTATCTATCGTAATGTTTACTTAGAACTGAGAGAAAAAAATTGTTTGACTTTATTCGAGACTTGGAGGGATAAGTTAGAACATTTCAGAACTTTCTCCCTTTCGCCAAGTTATTCTTATTCTAACTCTTTATCTTCTTTATCGTCTTCATCCTTGGAGTTATTTTTTATTCTCTTCAATTTCCTTTACATTTTTCTGTATTCCAATTCAATCCTATTTCTAGAAAATCACCTTCATCCTGCTTATAAACTTTTCCCATCTCGCCCTCGTAAAAATGATTCACATCATGATATAAGCGAGATAAACAAAACAAAAAAGTAAATTATATAAATGTCTTCAGATTATTTACCTTAACTACTGATAAAATTACCACTCAGTCCAACGGTGGGAAAATATTTCCCTCTCCATGAAAATCTTAACTCAAAACACTCAATTTGTTAATTGGTCATAATCAATTGATGGTTAACCTTTTAAACATAATTAAGCTGTCTCATTGTTGCTCTTTATTAATCTAATATCTATTGAATTTCAATCATACAGATAATCAATCATCATCATGTTACAACAATTAATCATAATTATCATCTTAATTTTATCATGTAATCATGTAACTTGCTCTTACCACTCCCAAGTTATTGAGTTAATTACAGTTACCAGGACAATGATTAATTTTCAGCTGATTAAATATCATCACTATTTTTTGATTGTGTTAGTTTCAATCAACCTCTCAGTTGTAATTAGCTTCAGAACAGATTGATATTGAGATTGTTATTGATTTAAATTGTTAAATCAATTACCAATCATCAGACCAACAGTTAACAATTAAAAGTATTTACCTATCAAATTGATTGTTGAGTGTGTTAAAAATAAATACGAGGAAACAATTAAAATTAATCACATTAATATGAATTAATGTATTCACCTATTGTTTGTTTGTTTAATTGCCTCAAGGTGATTCTGGTTGACAATTTTGACATTACAATTAACTTGGTTAAGGTTATTTACCTTTTATTTAATATTCATTGACCTCGGGAATCATGTCAACAATTATAAGAAGATCAATAATGATCAGCAATCAAATCCTATTCAATTATCATTATTAGGCTTCGCTATTTGTTTATCATATTAATCATCATCTTCATGATAAATACAGTTAATCTTATCTTCCGGCATTGAAATGATGATGATAATGAAGATGATCATCATGGATGATAATAGGCTTTTCTTGTTTTGCAATCTAATTTAAAGACAGAGGTTCGAGTTAAGTTGGGAAAAAAAGTTCTACTCGATTTTTTCGACTTCTCCTCAAAAACAGTAAATAAGTTTTTCATCAATCAGTTTTTTTTTCTGTGCTTCGTCCAAGAAGATATTCTTGATATAATCATGATAAAGGATTAGGATGTTGATCAAGTTGAGGATGAAAATGAAGATGAAACCAAAGGGAAAAAAAGAGAGTCGAAAGTTTCGATGAAATCAATGAACAGAATCAGTGATTGGTTTGAGAAGATGAAGTTGAGATGATATTAAGTCAAGCTTGAAATAGGAAACAATGAACATTATATTGTCTCTCATTTGAAGATGATGATGATGATGAAGATACGGAAGATTTTCTCTTTCATTTTCTTTCTTATCAAGAACACTTTTTCTCTTCTTTACTTTGTCTCTCTCATCTATCTTTTCGAACTCAAACAACCATCTAGTTCGAGATTTTCTTCATCTTCGACTTATCTAAACTAATTCCAACTTCGTAACAATCACAACAAATGATCATGAAGAGACTTAAGAATTACCTTATTAATTGGTTACTATTATGATTATTATCATCATCGAATCTTAATCATCATCAAGATCAAGATAGAAATGTAATGTAAATTAACTTTAATTAGAACCTTTTAATTTGAAAAGGTCATTTGATCGGAGGGAAAATTTTTCTTCTCTATTTGTTTCAACTTTCGCATATCGGACATTGGTCAACTTATTACTTCCCTTTGGATAATAATTTTCCTCCAATGTAATATATATATTGCCTATCTATTCATAGATATTATTTCCGGTAAGTTAACCTTAATCATCTTCATCATTATCATCAGTTGATCATGGGGATGAGGGCGGAAGACAGACAGTATATATTAATAAAAGGTTTCTCATTAATTAGATGATAAAAGTTGATTCCTTTTGTTATCCCGAGTCTTTAATTTCCGGTTACATTCATCAAACATCAATGTTAATCATTAGGTTGATGATGAGCAAAAAAAGACGATAAATATTACATTAACCCGTTAATTGTGTAAACTTAATCATCATTAAATTGTTAGCATTTAGAAGTATACAAAAAAGTTTGCAAGGTAAATCAAAATGAGTTTGAAACTTTATCTTCAATTGGTGTCAACAATTAATGGGACATTGTAATTTAATTGTCTAATTATTTACTGGTATAAATTGGTTAACCGACTGGGAAAGTGTTAAGAATGGTAACAATTAGTTAATTTTGACAATTATTCTGTTGGAAATAGTAAATATTTGCTTAGACTATTTTTTGTTTCGAATGGGGAAAAATTTGAAAAGGCGGGAAAACTTTTATCTTTCCAATCGTTGGGAAAGTTTAATGGTTTCAATTAGTTTTCATCAATGATAATGATCGTTATTATCATGAAATATGATCAAAATTCAATGATGGTGAAGAAAAAAAAAACTGATTCCAAAAAAGATATAAGAATAAATGAAAAATTATCTCTTTTTTCTTGAATGAAAACCTCTGATTCTTATCAAGGAAGAAAGGAAAAAGTTTAAATAATGTAAAAAGATGAAGATGAAGATTGAATAAGATTGAGAATGTTTCAAACATGTCATGTTATATTCCCATGGTAAAAATTATCTCTTCAACTGAATCAAACTGAAAATCAAGAATCAAATGTGTGTGACCAATGATATCTGAATCATATATTACCTATTGAAAGTAGATTTACCTGTAAGAGGAGAAGAGGAGGAAAAAAAGATAAAGTTCTGAAACTTCATGAACCCTCGTCATCCCTTTTTTTTATATCAATGATAAAAACTAACCAGAATTTATTGCTTTGAGTTACTATTGATTTTTAATAGCATCGGATTTTCAAATGGATTGATAGCATGGTGAACATGGTGAAATGAGATGAGAGGAATAAGGAGCAAAGAAAAGTTCTGATTCAAGAGATAAGATGAAATCAGAAATCAGGAGTAACAGAGGGGAAATCAGAGCAGGTTACATGATAATATTATGGATATAATATGATAACATGAATTCAAGTTTGGTCTTTGAACTTTTTCTTCATCGAAAGAGTTTTTTTTTATACTTTTCTAAGACTGAAAATGAATGAGAAAGTTTCAAGAGAAAATTTAATTTCCATTGTCCACTTGTTGGTCATTTTAGTTGAAAAGTAAAAGGAAAATTTTGGACAAAAGTTGATCAGAAATTTGAAACTACAGGGAGTGAAAGAATTAAGATATTCATTCAGTGATAAACTTGATAATGAAAATAAGAGAACCAATCAAAGGGAATTAAAGACAAAGAGAGGAGAAAAAGTTCTGAGATTATCGTCGAATTGAGTTTATGTTCATTTCTTTACAAGTTCATCTTGATGGGTGGAAAGTGTAACCCACCTTCCCGAACTATCAATCAAATTAGTGTCTAGTGTATTATCGAGGGTGAGATATTTTCACCCACCGAGGGCAAAGAAGACAAAAAAAAATATTCATTCACAATTTGATTCTGGTTGATTTACTTTTAATCCCCTTTCCTGTCACAACTAATTTCAACTGAACCAGAAAAAAAAGATGAATCAAATTTTTCCTCCTCATCTTCATCATCTTTGTCACCTTAGTGATATTGTTATTCAATCGATGGTGGTGATGATGATGATGATGATCACCATCATCATCATGATAGAGAGGTGGATGAGATTGGGTGGGTGGATTTACTTTCCCAGGGAAAGCTATTAAATCTTAAACCAAAAGGGATTAGAGGCTGAGATTTAGCTATAAGATTAAATCTTCACAACTGTAATAATCAATTGATTGTTATGTTCATCCGACATTTTATATATTTATGTGAATTGGAAACAATTGTGATTGTTAAACTATTTCAAAAGAAATGTAATCAATTAATTGTTTCTCCTTCTCTATCATTCAAGGATAATCAAGGTAAGTGGAAAAAGTTTTCTTCTTCTTGTTGGAAAATTAAATTAAAATCAGTTGATTGTGATCATTTTTGATAGATGATCATGATCATGTATATGTAAGGTGGGTTGAAGATTGAGGGTGGGGTGGGTTTTAAGAGGATCATGTTATCATTATTATTATCATGTAATTGAAATTTGATGTAAAACTAACAAGTAACAATTTAATTATGCATTAAAACTGTTTAACCAAATAATTAAATGAATATTTTTAATCAATTTAATCCACAATCTATTAAATGTAAACGAGAGAGAGAGAGAGAGAGAGAGAGAGTAACATTTTCAATCAAATTAATTCAACGATGAATTTTAAACAATCAAAAACTAATTAAGTTACGATGATGATGATGAAAGATTATCAATTATTTCAGAAGAAGACGAAAATTAAACACAAACAATTAGTTAATTGTGAACAAGTTAGAAGTTTCTTCAAATTCAATTGAGCAAATTGAAATTGATTGAATACAATTTTCTTTACACTTACCTATTGTTGTAATGACGGTAAGTGAATATAAAAAGGCACCTGAAAATGACCATTGGTCAGTTTGAGGGTTAAATGTTTCTCGGCCATCGTAACCCTCACGAAAGGCTTGATAGAGTAAATTTTGAAATTTAATTATCTCATTGGTGGTCATCGCTGTCCAGTTTTCCTCTTTTAATATGTTGGTGTTTTCGGTTATCCTCCAAAGTTTGGACACTGTTTGATTTCGTAAGGTGATCACCTGATTGATACGTTGTCTTTCACTCATTGACTCAAGGGTACTGAATATAAATGCCCCCAGGGTAGAGTAGCCTAATATTAAAAGTGAAAGTCCAAGGTTAGAGCACAACAGTGAACCCACTCGACGGCAACATCGACATGACCTGGGGCCATTGGAATCACTAACACCACCATCACCTGAAACATTATCACAATTTAATCCATTAACACAGGTTGGATTAATATCTTTATCCTTGATCACACTGGTCAGTGTCAACAGATCATTGTGTTGACCATCAAGTGTTGAATCATTTTTACCATTTAAATTGGTCATTCCAATGTAGTTATCCATCATTATTGGTTAATTGTTTGGTTAATTTTTAATTTACAATATCAAATAAACACTAACACTGGTCAAACACTGACCACAAGCACAATTTAATTATGATGATGATGATTTTTAGATACACTTGAATCACAATTAAAACTAAATCAGTGATTATTAAATTGTCTCCAATGATAGCAAATTCAGCTTCTAATAAATTGTTTATTGGTTTAAAAGTTAATTGTTGACTTGATTTTGAACGGAAATTATTTTTTTTATTCAATTTATCTATTGATTTATTATGTTTCAACCTTTTGATTGTTAATGTTGTTTCAAACAATTTACTGATTGTTGTTACTAATCATTAACCTCACCTAACATTTAAAGGTGATTGGTGAAAACAATTGATCTTTAATCACAACAATTAAGTTTCAATCACAATGACAGGAAATCTGATTAAAATTTATATTTGTCTCTATCAATCCAATTAATTAATATGATTAAAAAAAAATGATTAACAATTTAATTGATAATAATTGGATAGTTTAAATCTATCAATTTCTGCTTCATTTTTTGATATAAACTTTACAATTAGCTGATTATGATTAACAAATTAATCAGAATGGTCATTTTTGAAACTTAAATTTGTTTGGTTAATTGTATTAATCGTTTGCTAATCAAGTTAATTGTGAAGGACCAACAAACTAAAATTGACCAACAACAATCAAATTAACAAAGTAACAGTTAATTTAACTGTTTAATTAACTTGGATAATCACATATTATGAAAAACACAATCAAATGAATGTGATGAAAATTAAATTTTCTGAATGAACAATTTAGATAATAATCAATTAACAATGACAAAAGACCAATAAGAAATTAATTGTAACTCTAATAATAATAATAATTAAATTGTTCAAATAACAACAACAACAACAATAATTATAACTGTTAATCCAATTGTGAGAAAATTAAATTCCGCAATTAATGGACCACTGATTATGAATTACGATAGATGATTAAGTTGATTGTCTAGTGTAAACAAATCACTTTGATTAACAACGGAAAGGAAAAACTTTTTAATCCATTATTGATGTTCAATTGTGGTCACTTGACAATACGAGTTAATTGTTAATCACTTTATAACAATTGATTATCAATGATGATCGTTGATTGTTATTAACTTGTTATTGATGTTACTCTGATTCTCAGTTGATCAAATGTGATCATCTTTACGTAATAACAACAATTGAATGTCCAAAGTGAGTCGATATCATGAGAATGCGTGATAACAGAATCGACAGAATTTCATAACTTTCGATTCTGAGCATTTTGAACATTTCGAACTCGAAAGAGAATAAAAGAAGAAAACGAAAAATTCTTTTCTCCAATTCCCTTTACAATAGAAACTCATTCACTTAAATTGGTTTAAAATTCATTGATTGTTAACTGATTGTTCAACTTAATTAATATTCGAGTCACAATTTAATAATATTAATTCATTAATTTCCATTGAAATAACAAACATACAATTTACCAAATCAAATTGAACTTTTATCCTAACAATTTTCAACAATTACTTGTTGATTAATCTAAATTGTTACCAATAAATTTGATTACGATTTTAATTCCATCAATTCAATTAATTAATTTACTTTTCCATTGAAACCAAAATTAGAGAAATGTGTTAATCAATTGCTTGTTGATCGTTGATTTGATTATAATGAAATTTTTTGTTCTCTCAGTTTCTTATTAGTTTTTAATTACTAATTATCTACTCGATTGTAAGTTTAATGGTCAATCGGATCAAAGTTAATTGTGGAAAATTTTTTGATTCAATTTTGGAGCCAATTGTTTATTCATTGAATGAGCAACTCCATTGATCAGCTGATTGGAAATTGAAATTTTCTTCAACAGTTTTGTTTTGATTGTTTGCTGTTTCTTTAATTGTATTGGATTTTAATTTGATTACGTGATTTAAATTGTGTTATTTTATTCATCCTAATGGGATCATCACTGGATCAAAATAGTTACCTTAATGGTTGCACATCATCTGAGGCAAGTAATCAGATTGATGAGATGGTTAAACGAGACATTGTTGATCATTTTAGTAAAGAAATGAGTAAATTGATTAAACGTATTAGTGATGCTGATAGCCGATCAATATCTTATCTATCAGAGTGTCGATCACTTCGTGGACAATTAGAGATGGTTAATCGTGATCTTGAAAGTGCTAAGAAAAAGATTAACGAAAAGGATACAATTATTTTCAATTATAAATCACAATTAAGTGTAATGAGTGAACATCTCGCTGCTCTTAATGAGAAAATTGTCCAACAAAAAGATGCTATCGATGAATTGACTCACCAATCAAAGTGAATTCCAATCACAATTAACACTTTTGTGCCTCTTATTAATTATACTCACCGATTCTTCAAATTCGCTCACTAACTAATCAACAATTTCCATCAATAATCATCATTCGTCTTTTTGTTTTCTTCTCAATTTGGTTAATCTCTTCATCTTCTTTTTTTTTATATCAAAATTTTTCTGTTTTTCTTTTTTTCTTTTCCTTTGTTTACATTTCTCCAAAAGGCCTATACGATTGTCTAATTTGTCTCTACGAAGAAGAAGAAAAAAATGTCTCCGTTAATTGGATCAACTAGTTTCAAGATAATTAATTTCCCTGGTTTACTTGGACTTCAATCAATCAATTGGATCAAGTTAAATTTGGTTAACTGGTATTCAAAGAAATCTACTGATGATGAATTTTGGTTGGCTCAATTTGAAAAGGAAAATGACCTTATCTATGGACCTAATCGTTGTAATCAAAGTATCAACACCAACAACAACAACAACAACAATCAAGGAACAATTAATGGATTGAAACAATTAACACCACTGGAAATTATCAATAATTATTCAGAGGTGTTACCAGTCTCATGGGAACCTGATGATTTGATTAAATTTCCTTTAATCAATCCACTACGATTATCTACTAAAACTACTAATCAACGAGATGGTGGTGGTGGTGTTGATTATACAAAAGAGGAGGAATTAAATGTTAAACGAAATTTAATCCTCGATAAAGCCAATCTAAAGGTGAAACAATTTCCATCGGTTACCAAAGTTATCGGAGAGACAATGTCAATCTCATCGAGAAAAGCGTTAGAATTGTGGAAAAGCCGAATGATTGAGAAATTGGGTGATGAAGGTTTCAAAGAATATCAGCAGAAAATTTTTCGCCGTGGTTATTGTTTACATCAGAATATCGCAAATAAATTGGAGAAGAAATTTGATCAGGTTGAAATAACCGATGAAATCTCGGGATTTTGGAAAAGTTTGGAAAATGTTTTCTCACAAATCGATAATGTTAAACTATTGGAGAAACCGGTAACTCACCCATTCCTCTGTTATCGTGGTATAATTGATTGTGTTGCCAATTATCAGAATACCTGTTACCTGATTGATTGGAAAACTTCATCTAAACCCAAGCCAACAATTTACAATCTTTATGATGAACCCTTACAGGTTGTCTCTTACCTTGGTGCTCTTAATTTTGACTATAAATATGATTATCAAGTGATTAAAGCGGCAATTGTTATCTCCTATGAAGATGGTTCACCGGCTCATGTTCATCGTTTATCTCAATCACTTTGTAAAAATTATTGGATTAAATGGATTCGTCGACTTGACCAATACTGGTCAACATATTTACAAAATAATCAAAAAGCTTTACCAAAAATAGAAACATAAAAATCTAATCAACTTTGTTTTTCTAGATAATAATTAATAAAATGTAAACAAAAACTTAATTTTCATCTCGAAAATATTAAAAATGGGAAAACTTAACAATCCAATCTCACAAGAAAAAAAACAATTTAATTTGTAAAAAGAGAAAACGATTAATTGTAGAATTTTTTTTTCTCATTAATTTTAATTGTTCTTCCGATCGAATTGGTAATTTAATCAAATTTATTTTCTATCCCATAGTTGTAACGGCGAACATCAGATGGCGCTCATGATAGAATTTCTTTCCATATGTTTGAGCGCGAAAACTTTGTTGACATTGTTTTCTTTTTTTTAATCAATTGTTTTCTTTTCTCTTCCAATGTAATCAACTTATTTTCTAATTGCAATTAGTGTTTTATTGATTTTCTTTTTTTTGTGGTTTTAGAATAGATCTTTGTTGATATTAATCTTCTTTTGTGTGTGTGTGAATTATTGGTGTTTGGAAGGTCTGGTGAGTTGGAAAAATGGTTCTTTCGGAAGATCTGAAAGATATTCACAGAGACTTAGAGAAGGCTAAACTTAAAGGAGATTATCGTGAAGTGTCCCGATGTTATAATTTTATTGGTGTTACTTATTCCAATCAAGGTAAATATAAGGAAGCACTGAAAGCTCACCAGAAAGAATTGGAAACCTGTCAAAAAACTAAAGATCGACTTGATGAAGCGGTTGCCCGTCGGATGATCGGTGATGTTTATTGTGAAATGGGTCAATATAAATCAGCCTTAATCTCTTTCCGTCAATACTTAGAGATTGTTAAATCTTTAAATGTGGACGTTGAAATGCAAAGGGCAGCAGTTTGTATGGGTAGAGTTTATTGGCTAATTTATAGTGAAAATACAAAGGAAAATAAAAGAGCTCTTTTTAATGCTGGAAAATTTTATTCTAGTGCCTATTCTAGAGCTTCTAAGTAAGTATTTCCTTTTCTCTCTTTTTATTTTCCAATTTCGAAAAGAATTTAACCTTTTTTGTTCAATTTTTCTATTCTAATATGTTGATAGGTTGACAGGAAAGGTTCCCCAGCAAGAGCTTGATCTGATGATCTGTCGGTGTTTATTGAATTACTCCCTTGTTCTGGATGCCAAAGCCAACGAGAAGTGTATACCTTATACTAAATCTGCTCTTATTTATGCCAAAAAATGTGGTGAAAAGGATGACATGTTAAGGTGTCAACTCTCTTTGTCCGGAATGTTACAAAAACGAGGTTTATTTGAAGAGGCTCGAAACATGGTTGAAGAAGCCATGAAAACGGCTAAATTGGTTAAAGATTTTGTCCAGTTGGGTGAAGCCTTAATTACCAAAGCAACAATTCTCGCTAATCTAGTTGACTATCAAGGTGCTCGTCATCTATATAAATTGGCCTATCATACAAAGTCAATTGCTGAGGAGCATAAAATTCAGGCCAAATCGGGTCACAAGGTTATGAAAAAAGTGATTGAAACTCTTAAAGAGATTAGCTCAACAACGGATTTAGAGGAACATGTAAAGTTTTATGATAAATTGGGTGATTATTTTGTCGAAATTGGTTGTTATTCAAATGCAATCGATTATTATAAACGTGAATTAGAAGCTGCAATTAAATTGTGTAAACCTGATGAAGAATTGGCCAATATTTACTGTTCCGTTGGACAGACTTACGTTGATAATCAACAATATTCACTTGGACTTAATTATTATCAAAAGGCTTTAGGACATCGAGAACCAGGATCAGACCTCGAAATTGACTGTTTAGTGACCATATTTGAAATAAAGGTCGAACTTGATTGTGATTTCGATACAATTCACCAAGAATTTGAGGAGACACTACCCAAATGTACCAATGATACATTCAGAAAACAGATTCTTTATGCTTATTATAATTATCTAGTGGACAAGAATAAGCCCGTTATCGAGAAAGAGATCAAATCTAAACTGGAAACGCTCGAGAAACTTAAACCTATTGAAGAGCCTGAAGTTAATGAGGAAACTGCTGAAGTCGAAAGTTCCAAGTCAGAATCTGATTGTGAAATGTCCGATTTAACTGATATGTCGGAAGCAGAAAATGATGATGAAATTGAAGTTAAAGGTAAATTTTTACGAACTCGACGAACCCGAAAACTGGCCAATTTTAAAGTTAACGAAAAAGGTGAATCGTCTCTTCATCGGGCTTGTATTGAGGGTAATTATGCCAATGTGATTAAATTGGTTGAAGGAGGTCACGAGGTTAACGTTCGTGATCACGCTGGTTGGCTGCCCATTCATGAGGCCGCCAATCATGGTTATGCTGATATAGTTGAATATCTGATTAAACACAAAGCTCATCTGAACGATCGGGGTGGATCAGAGTGCGATGAGACCACACCATTGCTCGATGCCTGTGCAAATGGACATGTTTCTGTGATTAGAGTTTTAATTCGTAATGGTGCCAATGTTACATGTCGAGATGCTCGAGGATTTACCCCTTTGGATCATTTGAAGAGGCGAATAGGAGATGGTGAGGGTTTGACCTCAGATGAAAAGGAAGACGTTCGATTATTATTTAAGGAATTGGAAGATCTCATGAGGAAAGAAGGTTTTGATTTTAATGCGAAAAATTTGGTTAAAAGAAAACACACCAATTCTAGTGTGATTGGTAAACCGATTGATAATTTTCGCTCCCGTCGAAATCGATCTCCTTCAACAAGTCCACCAAGGAAATCTTTAAAATCAAATAAACACCGAGAAGCGGTTGAGGCTAAAAAAGCGTATAAAGAAACCATCTCCTCACTTCGGCGACCTCACGATATTGTCAATGGTCCACCGCCTGCTAAAAATAAATCAAAATTTCGAGGACTTATCGATGAATCAGAATGTGTAGTTGACGAATGGATGATAAACGATCTGAAACCTTCGGCATTGAAAGATAAACCAGTTCGAGACGCGTACGAAATGACATCGAGGTTAGAAAAGATTCACGAACGAGGAGAATCATCGACACCGTCATGTTCATCGTCAAGGGTTAAAAATAAACAGCGAGAAATGAAACAGACTAAATCTCGAGCACGAAGTGGCCTTGATCGATGTATGAATATAAACGATAGTGATGACCAAGAATCAGAGGATAAAAGTGAAGACGAAGATGATGACATTATTATCGATGTAAACGATGATGATGATGATAATCGTCCCAAACCAGATGAAACTATTCCCTCGACTCAGGATTTCCTGGAAGAGCCGACTTTCGAGTGGACACAACAACGAGAATCACCCGAACCTGAACTAACCGAGGACAGTGTTGACTATATGGACATTGAAATTAGAGAAAAGGTTCATCGAGAAGACGTAAAGATTATCCAAGATCAAATTCCGACAGAATGGACAGTATATCAACATCATCTTCTCCTCCTCCGTTTATCTCTTCCTTCCCACCGGCATCATCTTCATCTCCACCCTCACCCATTACGAAAACAGCCAACCCTCCAACCTCCTCCTCTCCACCCAGAATAGTGACAACTGACCAGCCCGTTGTCCCGATTGCCAATGAACGTTTCCCGGTCAATGTTCATGTTGCCAAGTCAAAATTTTTCTTCATGATCACCAACCGATCAGCCCAAGTTTCATGGTTAGCAGATAAAGTTGCCGACCGATATTATCAACAATTTCAACTTCGTCCAAAACTTTCCTTGACCACTGAAGAGGGAGCCATTCTTGGCCTTGATGACCTTGTTGTCGATGTTTGTTTAAACGGTCAATTATATGCTTCCGTTGAATCTTGGGATTTGGAACCGTTACCTGATCGTTACGAGTCAAGTTGTAAACTAAAAAAGGTTCCGGTTAACTGTGACCTTAAATTCCGATTAAAGTTATCGGAAACAAGTGGAACTCTTGAATTGACCAATATGCTTCTTGGAAAGACGATCGTTGGTCACTTTTTATTATCCCTTCGATGTCAAAAGAGTCTTAGAATTTTAGATTTCTCTTTTAGTGATATTATTCTGCTCGATAAGGATGACAATTTATCGCAAATTTTATCAACTCTTCCCGATTTAGAAGAAATCAACTTCAAGGGAACCGGATTAGTCTCATTTAGATTATACTCTCTCTGTAGACACGAATACGACAATCTAATCAATATTGATTTCAGTTACAATCTATTGGACGATAAATGTTCAAATAATTTGATCCAGTTAATAAGTAAATGTCCAAATCTACGAAAAATTGATCTTCGTTACAACGATTTCTCGGAACAATTTATGGAAACAACAGATTTAATTGAAATCACTTCAAACAAAAATATAACATTGTTAATGAAATGATTAATCATTTCCACTAATTATCTTTCTTAATTCTAGTATTATTATCATGTTTATTAGCTTAATTAGCTTTCACCATCATTGTATTACCATCATCTTTAATATTGTCATCCTCATCTTCATCTTGATACCACAATTATAATTAACTTTGATTGTAACCCTTTTTAAATTTATTGTAACTTGTAAATGAGCATTTTAATTGTCAAACAAGTAAAAACCTCATCCTCATGATTTCCTGATTATATCACCAACAATTAACAATCAAATTAATACCTGACTTTTATTCAAGTAACAACAATTAACTGTTCATCTTTATTGTTTCAAATTAACTTTAATTAGCTTTGTTTTTTACAATTAATCAACTGATTTTTTTGATTAAACCAAACACGATGATAGTAATTGAAGAAAACAATGATTACGATTTAAATTGGCAGCAAACAATTAACTTTAATTGAGTCATAACTGATTTACGTTGTTGTTGAGTAACAATTAAAATTATTTATCTAAATAAAGACAATCAATTGATGATGAGAAAGATAATCAACTAAACAGAAAAGGAATCAAATCTAATTGTTGGAAATGAAAAGGAAATCAATTTAATCAATCAAGGGTAAACAATGAGGAACATGATGAAAATTATTGATAGACAACAATTAAGGATCAACGATTAACGAGTTTATTTAGTTGATTGTCCTAATTAAGGATAACAAATTGTCAAGAAATTGATGAGATTGAGATAACATTGAAATCTATTGATGATTAACTTAATTATTACAAGAATTGGGAGCAAGTTAATTAACATTAATCATTACTCAATGGATCCTATTCATCTTAATAAGTCAAACAATTTACTTAATCATTTTAATTATCAATGTGATAATCAAGGTTAAAAATGGTTGATTTAAAATGTCACCTTATTATTATTTATCAACAATTTATAAATTGTTGACTGTAGTTAATTATGTTAATCATATTCAATGGAAAAAAAAATTTATCAATTGGTTACAATGTAATAATTAAAAATCATTGATTAACAATTTTCACTTTGATTTAATTTGATCAATAAAATTAATCAAGGACAAAGGAATCAAATTTTAATTGAATTGAAAGTTAATCAACAGTTAATTCAAATTGACAATCAAAATAATTAGTTACTATTTTAATATTTTATCATTTAAATTGCTTTCTAATCATTAAAGTTAATTTGATTACCAACAATTTATATTTTTACTTTCACAATGATTAAGATGATAATGTAAATTTAATCAGTAATCAATTTCCGGAATTATGATTAGGCCAAGGCTGAGTAAAAATATCAAATTAACAATCAAATTGTTTACAATTGAATTAAATTTGATTCAGTTTATATTGTTCACCTGATTGTTTGTTAAATTGTTCAATTGTTGAAGGCAATTTGTTTGATCAATTTGATTTTCCTTAATTATTTAGGTTAATCATTTAGACTTTAAGTCAACTGGAACTTTAAATTAACTAAATTAAGTTAATATTAACAATCAGATTTACTTTTTCAATGGCCAATCAACTGGACAATCAACTGATTGTTAATAATGAAAGGAAGTTTGAGTTAATTGTGATTACTAGTTAATCGTTAGTTAATTTGATTCGAGAAAATCAAATTTAATTCATTAATAATTTAATCACGATGATGACGATATTGATGATCAAATAGATTGTGAATATTAATTGTGATCATTTTCAAATCAATTACAATCAGTTAATTACCAGATACTTAATTCAAATGATTAGTAAGACAATTTAATTTGATTGAATGTCCTTCAATTAACCAATTCAATCAATGGTCACAAAAAAAAATTAAAGGGAAACAAATGAAAACAACTATTGATTGTTACTATTAATAAACTGATTTAGTTGATTGTCAACAATTTAAATGTTAAATCTTAACCATAAATTGTCAACAGTTGATTAGTGTTGATATTTCAATCAAACAATCAAACAATTTGATCCTAATTCAATAACAACAACAATAACAATCATGATGAAGGTTGATGATGATCAAATTAATTGTCATTTATCATCATTAACTAAATTACAAAAATCATTAACTTTAAATTGATTGTTAACTTGATTTGAAAGAATCAAATCAAATTAAATGATAGATTTTCAACGAAAATCAAAAAAAAAATTAAACACAATTAACCAATGGAAAAGTAAATTGTCAAAAATGATAGAAATGTTTGTAAATATCCAACTAATTAAAACTAATTGTGACAATTTAAATGTTAATTTGTTTAATTTTTGGTCTGATTATTTTTAGAAAAATTTGTTCACAATTAAAAAGCATTTGAAAAGTTTTCAAATGGAGAGAATTAAATTCTAATCCTGGTTAATCAACAAACTGTTAAATTGTTGGCTAAATTGTTGTTAACTCATCCTCCTTCCACCTTCATCATCACCTCCTCATCCTCAACAATTAACTTAATGAATCAATGATTAGTTTCCACTCGCAGTGTTGATCATTTATTTATTTTCTGGTGACGTGGTAACTTAACATTCACAACGTTTAACCAACAAACAGACAAAAGTAAAACTGTTCATCAATTAATTGTTATTAAATTGTGATCACCTCCATTTATAGAATTAGCAAATTACCAGTGTGATTTATTAATTACGATAGAAAATCAAATTGCTAATTCAACAATTGTAATTACATTTTCACTCTAAATGTTTGTTTACATTTTCACTTCTTCTCTTTCTGTTTATTGAAGGTAAGAGATTTTCTAATCATTCATATGATTTAATCTTAATAATAATTAATTGTGATTCTTTATTGTTTCATTTTCAAATTGTCATCATTTAACTGGTGATTTAATAGTAAATTGGTTAATTGTTGTTGTTTATTTCTCTTCGCCAGGTAAATCATTTCCTATTTTTCTCCACCCAATGGAAAACCGGATTGATTTTTTTTTCTATTCTCTGGTTTTTCAAAATTCTTTTCTCTTTTTTTTTAATTTCTCTTTCTTTCTCTTTAACCAATAATCACTTTTAATTCAGTTAATTTCAATTTCTTTAATTGTGTTTAATCAGTTCCCATTTTGGAATTAGTTTCAATTACCTTTTACCTCTGTAACTTATCGGTGATTCTTGTTACATTTTCAATCTTTGAAACGAAATTTGTGTTTACCTGTCAATTGTTTGATTCCAATAACAACACAATCAATTTATCTTTAATTTTCTCTTTGTTCTTCTCTCTCTTTTTTATATTTTCTCTTTCTTTTCTTCTCTTTCTACCTTTTTCTTCTTCTCTTTCTATTTTTGTTCTCTTTCTCTTCTTCTTCTTTCCTGTGTTTCAAATTCTCTTCTTCTACTCTCTTGGTCTCTCCTTTTCTCTTCATTTTGTGTTGATGTTACTTGAGAAAAAAAAGATCATCACATTTTGCCTTCTTCTTTTTCTCTAAAAAGCAATTAAATTAATTCTTTTTATTTCTCTCTTTCTCTCTCCAACTAATTAACTTTCTATAACATCACCATCATCATCATCATCATCTTATTGGTATAAATCGTCTGGTATTCTCGATTTCTCTTAATCCTTAATCCATCATCGTTTGGTTAACAACCCAAATCTCCGGGTAGATTTTTTGTTCTTTTCTACTCTGACTATGTTTACATATTGAAGTGAATTATTTTCTATTCTACAATTTCAATTATTTCTACAATTTAATTATCCTGATTTCACCTTTGCCGAAAAAGGGTAAGTGTTGATCATCATTTACCTTTTTCCCTTTGTCCTTGTCTATTTAAACCTCTTGTTTTCTCTCTCTCTCTTTTTTTTTCTCTTTTCTCTTCATTTGTCAACCTGTTTTCTTTTCTCTTTTGCCTCATCATCATTTTCAATCTCTTTCTCCCAATACTTGTTACTCTTGGTTCCTTCTCACCATTCGGGTAATCACACCGAGATCAGTTTAGAATTTAAAATTGTTTTCTCTTTCTCTTCCACCAAATTAACATTTATCACTTCAATTATCATGCTCATGATTCTGATTAAAAACAATTAGAAATTCTTTATGTTATTACCTCTATCATTAACCACGGTGGGTGTTTAAACAATTGTAACCTTGGATATGACAGTTGATTTTTCCCCTTGTAACAATCACTACTCTTCCTCTCTCCTTGTCTAAAGTGTTAACATGTATCTAAATTAATTGTTGTTTAAAAATTGATCTAATTTTATTTTTCTGTATTCTATTAGGTTTACCATTACAACTACTATTCAAATAATATCTTAACCTATTATTGTTTTGATTTATATTCAAATTGATTGGCTATTGGATTTATTGGATTATCATCATTTTAACTGAAAAATTTTGATTATTACAAGTCAAATTTGGTTTACCTGTTTGTTAACTGTTCTATTCTTGATTGTGATCAAAATTTCTCTTCTCTTGGTTTAAATTTGCTGTTGTGACAATTATTCTATTTTATTAACAAGATGTACAGTTTCTTACGACGTAACGATAACCGTAAGGAAGCGGATACATTCATCTCTGTGAATGAAGGATTAAAGAGATTATATAAGACCAAGATTCTTCCTCTTGAAGAGCATTATTTGTTTAAAGATTTTCACTCACCACCATTGGAAGATGCTGATTTTGATGCTAAACCAATGGTACTTTTGGTTGGACAATATTCAACCGGTAAAACAACTTTTATCAAATATCTTTTGGAACAATCATTTCCTGGTATTCGTATTGGACCTGAGCCAACAACAGATAAATTTATAATTGTTATGCATGGTGAACAAGAGACAGTTACTCCTGGTAATGCTCTAGTCGTTGATCCTAAAAAACATTTCCGTCCATTATCAAAGTTTGGTGGAGCTTTTCTCAATCGATTACAATGTTCAACGGTTAACTCACCTGTTCTAGAATCTATAACCATTATTGATACTCCAGGTATTTTATCAGGTGAAAAGCAACGTGTTGATCGTGGTTACGATTTTACCGGAGTCCTTGAATGGTTTGCTGAACGTGTTGATCGGATTATCCTTTTATTTGATGCCCATAAGTTGGACATTTCCGATGAATTTAGACGTAGCATTGAAGCACTACGAGGACATGATGATAAAATAAGAATTGTTCTCAATAAAGCAGATATGGTTGACCATCAACAGTTAATGAGGATTTATGGTGCTCTCATGTGGTCATTGGGTAAAGTTTTCAATACACCTGAGGTGTCCCGTGTTTATATTGGATCATTTTGGGATAAACGATTACAATATGATGATAATCGTAAACTATTTGAAGCTGAAGAGCAAGATCTTTTCGCAGATCTACAAAGTCTCCCTCGTAATGCTGCTCTTCGTAAGCTTAATGATCTCATAAAGCGAGCTCGATTAGCCAAGGTAAAGAAGAAAAAAATTAAATTCTCTTCACGGAACATCTCCCTCTTCTCCTCTCTACTTGATTTCCATGCCTCGGTTCACCCTTAATTATAATTCTTCTCAATTTACCTCTTCTTACTCACCATGTTCTCTCTCTCTCTCTCTACACCTATTTTCACATTCTCTGTCTCTTTAAATAGTATAAGGATTTAAATTCTTTGTCTAATCATTTTGATTTCATCTTATTTTTCTTTTATTCTCTTTTGTTATTTCCGATTCTCATCTTCTACCTCTTTAGGTCCACGCCTACATAATCAGTGCCTTGAAACGAGAGATGCCTACATTAATGGGAAAGAATAATAAAAAGAAGGAATTAATCAAGCATTTGTCTAATATTTATGCCTCCATATCCAAGGAACACTCAATCGCCGAGGGAGATTTTCCACCTCTCAGTGAGATGCAGGAGAAACTTCTTGACCATGATTTCACCAAATTCAATGCATTAAATAAGCGATATATTGATGCAGTTGACAAGATGCTTAAAGAAGATATTGCTCGTCTTATGTCTCAAATACCACAGGTAAAATGTTCATGTTTATGGTTATTGTTTGAATGATTGCAACTTTAACCATTCACTTTGTGACATAGTTTCTTCCTTTAATTAGTGTTGATCTATTTTCCAATCAGTCTGGTGAAGTAATTTTTTACTCACAAGTAAATTGTGATTATGAAGTGCAAGAAAAAGATTCCAAAAAAAGCTTTCATGGAAACCGGAACATGATGAAAACCACTAAACATCATGTTGACAGACATAATCATCTTAAATCGCTCTAATGATTCCATTCATTCTTGACACAATATGAGCCCTTGATCATCATCGCCATCATGATGGTAACCAAGGGCTTAATTGTTTGAGATTTAGTTGTAACCCTTGAAAATTGTTGTAACGCCACAACAACCAGGTCAACCTTAACTATGGTGGTTTTTTCAAAATGTTTCCTGTTTTTTTTGTACACAAAAAAAAAGATAATTGACCACTTTGAGTTCATTTCTAATTCTGATTATTTTGATTTAATTTTCTCAATTTAGGAACAAGCTAATCAAGCTGTAGACGAATCAGCTGTTAAAGGAGGTGCCTTTGAACATGCCCAAGAATCACCGTTTGGTTTTGGCCGAGGCGAGGGTATTGATGAAGGTGCTTTCGACTCTAAATGGGTCGTTTCTAAAGAGAAGCCCAAATATGATGAAATATTTTCCGCTCTTCACCCGCAAGATGGTAAAGTTTCCGGTGCCGTTGCCAGGGAGGAACTCATTAAATCAAAACTTCCCAATTCTGTGTTATCAAAAGTTTGGCGTTTAGCTGATGTTGATCATGATGGTTCTCTTGATTCTGATGAATTCGCCTTAGCTATGCATCTTATTAATGTTAAACTAGATGGTCATGATTTACCCGCTGAATTACCGGCTCACTTAATACCACCTTCTAAAAGAAAGGGTATTGAATCTTGAAATTTTCAAACTTTCATAGAAAACTTTCCCTCTTCTCTGCCTCTTTTTAAGTTCTAATTGTTCTAATTTGTTAATTGTTGAAACAATTCTTCACTTTATCTCTTTAATTATTCCACCTCCTTAATGTTTGTGATTTTTTGTGACTTTTTAATGATTACTAAATTATTCCTTGTATAGATCAAACATCTAGTACAAATGGATGGTCTCAGTCGGATGGAGATGCTCCTCCTGAGTACTAATTGAAATTGTTTCAACAACAATTAACCGATTAATTGTGAAGAAAATCATTCTTCCTCCTTCTCATTTTCTCACTTTTCTCAATTATCCTTATATATCTCTCTCTCTCTCAACATGATCAAAATTAATAGTGATTAATATCCGAAAGAACTTAATGTTAATTGTAACAATCAACATCCTTTTAAATTGTAACAATTTCCATCTTCTAATATTATTGCTATCAAAAGTTTGGTCTATTGACAAATTTTGAGGCGAAATGTTAATCAATATTAATCTCACAAAATTAATATTGATGATAATTTAAGATTGAGATCATAATTTGTCATCTTTTTTAATCAGATTCCCAATGTCTTTTTTTAAATTATCCCAATTAGTTGATTTTGTTATTTCCAAACCGTACTTATATATACTTTATTTAATTACCCATGTAATTTCATTAATTTACCCACATTAATCAATACCCAACATTAAAACAGGAGAGAGGGTCGATCATTGGGAATGATTAACAAGCAACAATTAGAATTGATTGTTGTCAACCATTACCACCCACCATTGGAAACAATCAGAGGGAGAGAAAAGCCAACACAATTGGATTAACAAGTTAACTAAATCAAACCAATTATTTCAAAAACACTCGTTACAATATATACAACAACTATTATTAATTTAACGTCAACAATTAAATTTTAATTGTTGATGTTGATTTTTTTTCCTGCTGAAAACAAAGAGGCAAACCAAAACAATCAACAAAACTCATTGATCATCTCATCAATACACAATCAACAAATTATTTATCATCTTTGCAAATCCCCGTTAACTTAATTATTAATGATGAAAACTTATAAAAAGCAACAATGTTAAATTTAAATTTTTAATAATTACTAATTAAAAATGAAAACTTCTAATTTAATTGTATAAATACACCTCAGGTGACCAGATTACCTGTCGTCACAATTGATGATTAACCTAATGATGGTTTTTTTTTGTCATACCGATTGTGTTAATTAAGTTAATGACTTGAGGAAAATTAATGTATGTGAACAAAGTCATTGACAATTTAATCAACATACACATGGAAAAACAGTCCAATTACAATTGGTAACAATTAAAGTAGTTAAAGGCGGTGATGAAAATTAGAAAGAGAAAAAGAAAGAGAAAAAAGTTATTTCTTTTTTTTTCTTCTCAAGGAAAAGTATAAACCGAGAATCGCCCTCAGGCTATTTCACATACACAATGGATTCCAGGGTCACAGGTACGTATTTATATATAAGAATTAACTTGTCGATTGTTGATGAAAAGAAATGATCTTTATATTGAATTGACTGAATTATTTTCCTTGATTGTTGTTCAGTTACTGTTCCAGAATTTCCCGCCAATAGTTTGGTACAAATGTTGAATCGATTGTTAGAAATTGAAAAGAATTTTTTTCTCTTTCTCTTTTTTTCCTCTTACATTTGTATTCTAAGTTTTGCAATTAAATTAATCGTTGAATTGTAATTACAATTAAATCACCTTTTGTATCATTTAATGATGTAGTTGATGATGATGATGATAGAGATGAGAAATAAGGAGGAGGAAGAGGCTTTGAGAGAGTAAAAGAAAGTGAAACTCGGTTTACTTTTCTTGTTTTGTTTTCTATTCTTTTTTTCTTGTTGCTGTGTCCAAAGAATGATGATAGAGAAAGAGAATGAAAGAAAGATGGAGATGATGATGATAATGATGAGAGAGAGAGAGAGAGAGAGAGAGAGAAAGTGAGTACAGTCTCTCGGAAAAAAAGTAATTGCAGGTTTTAATGTTACTCTGGGTAAAGCTATTGGATGGGAAGGAGTTCTTGCTGTACGCAAGTATATACTTGAAGATGATGGAGACAGAGAGAGAGAGAGAGAGAGCGAGAGATGATGAGGATGATGAGGGAGAGGGCAGAAGGGGCGATGAGATAGGCCGAAGTTAAGAATCCAAAGTAGCTCATCAGTTGGGACTTCGCTCCGATCGAAGGCAAAATCTAGACCTTTTTTCACACCTTAATTTTCACTCTCTCCTTTAATTCAGTCCATTCATTTACAATTATCCTCGTTAATCAATCAACAATTTAATCATCATCATCATCATTCAACTTTAATCATCGTGATTATTTCAATTACAACTACAAGTTTTGTCGACATCACTTTTGATTAACTTAAATATTAGTTGAAACTTTGATTCGTCACTTTTATTTTGTTTGCAATCTTGTGTTTAATTGTTTCAATAAATTAACTAATCTTGTTTACTTTTTTTTTATGATTAATTGATTGTGCTGTTCACACCTATGGATTTATATTGATTAACTTTTAACTTTATTTTGTGATTGATTTGTTTTTAATGTGACTTTGGTTTCAATTGGTTTTTGGATTGTGGTTAAAAAGCTAATTGGTTCATTTATACTCACAATTTACTAATTACCAAGACAATTATCATGTTTGGATAATAACATTTTCCAATTTGATTTAAATTTCAAATCAGAATAAAATTCAATACGATTTTCAATTTCTACTATTAAATTATTTAATCCCTTAATCAATCATCACAATGGATAATCATAAGTCAATCATCATGATTAACACAATTGTAATCATTTCATTTATCATCAATTTACCAACAGTCCATTCATCTTGGTGGTAAGTTAATTACAATTAACTTTCTAATTCTAAACTAATTAAACAGTAATTACCTTGATTGAGATCATTGAAACAATACAAATGTAAATTTCTGGCTTTAAATCAAGCAAATTGTTCAAATAATCATTGAATGAGATAGACATGATTGACTAATCACCAAATTAGCAAAGTAATTAGTTAATCAACACTCAAGTGATTTACGTTAATGGTTAACGTCAATTGAATTTAACTTTATGTCCATCGTACTGAAATTTAATTGTCACAACTTATACATAGAGAAACAATAAACTCACTTGTTCTAATTGTTACAATTAAAATTTTTCGAGAAAATTTTCACTCTCAAAATAACAATTTACTTAATCCTCGTTTCTTTGAGCGGGATTAATTGTTACCGTTGTAATAATAATATCGAGTGACAATGTTATCCTCTTGTTTATCTTTCGTTAAATTAATTTGCCAAAATTTTCTCATTGATTCTAATTGTTATCATCACTTTAATCATCATCATCCTACTCATAATTGTTTGTATTCTTAAAAAAGTTAAGTCTCAGTGAATCTGTGGATTCCCATGTAACATGATGAGATTAACATCTTTCCGTTTCGTTGATTATCTTATATCATTTTTACATTCAAACCACAACAATTTATTTAAATTGTTATTCTCTTGATTACCATGGATTATATTTCATTGAAAATCTAATCTAAATTCCCCAGATTTCTGTTAGGTGAATATCTTTTGAGTGGTTTCTTTGTTTTCATATTAATACTTGGAATTTGTTTATCGTATTCCAAATTATTCTGAGTTCTGATTCTCAAAACTATCAGTGAATCTCTTTGGGGCTCTTTTCATTATCCTTAATTATTCCGGTAAATTGATGAGGACCATTTGCAATGTTTTCCTGGTGATATTCATTCATGGTACTAACTTATTGGTTGACCCTTAGTTTTTGTCATTATTTGATTTCAATCATGATGATAATTCAGTGAGATGGTGATTCAGATTCTTGAAAATCAGTCAACATTATCACCACACCTTTGATTATTATCTTTTCTCACCTTGTTTCGGATGGTTAAATGATTTCTTTCAAATTCTTACAAAATTAGTTACTTTATTATCATCATTTGAATCTTTCTTATGAGTTTTCAACAATTCAAGTTTCCATGATTTCAGAATCAAGGCAAAAACTCATGACGATGGCAACGATCTCATCAAAATCTCCGTCTGAGAAGTAAATTACCATTTAATTGACTGGAATTTGATTGAATCAACGTCAAAAAATATGCAACAATTAACTTGAAAAATCAACATTCTCCATCATGATCAGCCTTAATCAATTGGTAACCACAAGTTCTTGAACTTGAATCACTTTGAATCAAAATTGTGACCATCAACTGTAAGATATTATTAAAATAAAAGGAGTTATAAACATGAGGGATGTTGATAATCAACAAATTGTGCTCATCATCAATCATAATTGATTCAAATCAACAAGATGAAAGTAATTAAATGAATGTATCGTTGAGAAGTTACATCACTTAAGAAATCAAATGAAAATCCATTTTTATTTCACCAAAATTAAGACAATTGAGTTAATTACTGTTAACTAGAAACGCTGACCGGATATCAATAGATTGTCGCAATCAACCTTAATCATTAGATTCTGATAACAATCAGCTAACGGAAATACAGAAAAGGATAAAATTTAGAAGACAAAAGAGACAAAACTTTTCTTGCCCAACTAATTTATCTAAATTTATGAATACAAGGAAATCTTTCCCATGGTAATAAAACCAAACATCTAAATTGATCTGTATCGATAATGAAAGAGAACCATTGAGTGAGTGAGTGAGTGAGTGTGAGAGAAAAAAGGATGAAGATGATATAATCGAAAGGCTAATATACCAAGTATACACACACGAAAAGGATGGAGTCCAATAGGAAGAGGAAATGATGAGGAAGATAAAAACATTGAAACCATAGAGAAAAGAGATAATTTTATATTCTTTTTTCTTCTCTCTCTCTCTCTCTCTCTCTCTCTCTCTCTCTCATTTTTATAGCTCATTCTCAGTTTCTTGACCTGGAATTTTATAGTCATCGTGATATCCATCCTAGAGAAAAGAAGAAAAAAAGATGAAGAGAAAAAGAAAAAGAAAGAAATTATCATTATTACTATTCCCTAGTTGTCGGTTCTCTCATTGGATTACACAGAATTGGAAAATGGTTCGAAATGGTTATTTCTTTTTCGAAAATACAACAAATCAACTGAGAATCTGCTCGTAATGAGTAAACCGATTATTGTTATTGGTATAATATCGGATTCTCTGTGAGTTTATGCATAATATTTACCAGAGAGAAACAAAAGTTATTATGGAGATTAACTTATTCTCTCTCCTTTTTTATATTACGATTGTTTGATTTTTTTTCCTTCATTCGATATTTAATTGCTCAACATCATCTTTAATTTATTTCTATTTCTTTTATTACCTTTACACTATTATTATCATGTTAACTTCCTTGTTCCTATGTATCTCTTTCAATGGATAATCATGACTTATGACTTATTCAGTTGATCAAATTTTATGCTTCACTTTGGATTTAATTTAATCTCATTCTCTTTTATATGGATTAGGTTATTTACTCATCATTTATTTCCCGTTTGGTCAGCGTTTTAATCTCTTTGGTCAAGCTTAAGGTCGCAAATAATTTATTAGATTTTCTTGTTATCCACTATATTAGTTTTCTCGATTACAAATATAATATAATATCATCTGTTTATCGAGAAAATCATTTCAATCACTTTTCTATCATTCATACAATATAAGAATCTTTTTTTCCCTTTCATTTGATTACTAAAATTCTAATCAATTTGTGATGATTGATTACAATTTAAAGTTTCTCAATGACAACTATTTTTTGCTCTCTCTCTCTCTCATTTAATGGTTAACAATTTAACCTAATTAACTGTTTACAAGTTAAATCATTTTTCCTTCTTAGGATATTTTAAATGGTTAACTTGTTGAACGTTTTGTTTAAGCGAAACAACAAATTTTATTAATTCAACTGATTAACAGTTAAATTGTGTTCAATTAACACTTTCATGTTAATTTTAACAAGATAATTGTTAATCAACAATTGTTTTTAGAGAGAAAAAAGGTCAACAATTAAATTGATTGAGAGGAAAACTCATAGATTATCATTTTCTTTCATGTGGATCAAACAATAACAATAAAATTGATCAGCTGTAAATTAAAATCTATTGGTTTATCATTTTATCATTTCCAATAATAAACTATCTTAAACTTTTTCTCTTCTTCTCTATTTTTCTTTGTAGATTTAAGTGATTTGTCTATTATATATAAATTTTCTCAGCACTATTCCTATAAAACCATTATCATTATCGATAATAATAATGCCGTCATTAGATCAACACATAGAAAGAGAGATGATAAGATGAGCGTGATCCTCTTTTTGGCCTCTTCTCTTTTCTCCCTCGGTCTCTCATTGAATTTGAAACAATTTATGGCGAAACTGGTTTGTACCATTAATCAGTTGATAAAAGCAATGAAAGTGAAATGATGTCTGTTAATCTTCAAAGTTACAGCTTCTCATCGACATTATTACATAGATTCCAGGTAAACGGGAGAGCGAAAAAGAGAGATAAAGATGAAACTGGGCTAATGATACTTTAAACTCTAAAGAGAGAAAAGGAAACCGTTTACCTTGAATAGAAAAAAAAGAGAAAAAAAAGAAAACATTGTCAATATAATCAAAACGATAATCAGAGAAAAGAAAAGAAGTCATCAACCAGAAAGGTCAATCCAAAGAAGAAAACCTCATAGAGATATTACAATTCTCTCGTTTTTATGATACAATTGTAATAACAATCTATGGAAAGTTATCATTTGGAATTAAATCCATTTATTGGTATGTTTTTCTTCTTCCTTTTCTTTTGATTATTCCAAATGATAAACTACCTTTTTTTTCAATTTCGTTTTTATTTCTGTCGATTTAAGTGATTAGTATGTTGTTTTCTTCTTTGTTCTTTACTCTATATCATCATCAATGGTAATAACTGTTCAGTGATAACGACATTAGATCAACACATAACCAAAAGCGAAGAGAAAATGGAAATTGACCCTCTCTTTTTCCTCTTCTTTTTCCTTTGGTTTTTGTTCCAATTTTTGGGTCCAGTATTTATCGTTCCTTTTGCTCTCTTTTTTGCTCTCTCTCTCCTTTTCGCTCCCTGGAATGATAATGATGAGAAAAGAAGAGAAAATTAGTGTTAAAAAAATAGATATAAAGATGATTGTAGTTTCTTTGTTTTTCTATGTGTTTGTTTTTTACGATAGGTTAAGTGAGAAGATGAGGAAATAATGTAATAGGTGGTAAATGGGCAAAAGTATCACTGTAACACTTGGAAATGTATAGAAATTACTATTGGAAAATAAAATAGATTTCAGAGTTAATTGTTGCTGATGTTTTTTTTGTTCTTTCTTTGGTTCGAATATATATTTTTTAGGTCTCTTGGAATACCAACATCTCATCAGGAAATTTTACAAATCAAGCCAATCGCTGCTAAAGCTCATTGTCGTGATCATCCATCTTTGGAAGATGGTCAAAAGCAACTTTGTGAGCTTAATCATCATGTCCTTCAAGCAATTAGCAAAGGAGCCAAATTGGGTATAGATGAGTGTCAACACCAATTTAGACGGAATCGCTGGAATTGTACAACTTTTAATGACCATCCAAAGCTATTTGGCAGTGTTGTTGAAACAAGTGAGTAACAATTAGTATTAATCAATTTATGGCTTATTTATCGTTTGTACTTTCGATGGGTTGAAACTTTTTCGTGTCAATTTGCTTGCAAAAAGTTTAAAGTAATAAAGTATAATCGGGAATATAAATAATGAATTTCAGGTAATAACGGGACAGAATAAAATGATGAAAATTGAATAAAGGCTTAATGATTAATCAATGATGATTCTAGGGATTTGATTGCTCCTGTTGTTGGAGTTTCAGTTGCTGTAATCGTTGATCTTGTAGTTGTTTTGATAAAGGTTTAGGTTTTGTTTTGATAACCACTGGAGTTGATTGTGTCTTTGATTGAGCTTTAGCTTGAAGTTGGCAGGTTAAAGATTTGGCTAGTGAGGTGAATAATGGTTTTGGTTTAGCTAATAGCGAAGAAAATTTTGTAGATAATGTTGTTGGTTGTGGAAGTTGTTGTTGTGGTTGGGTGGAATAAGGTGGTTGTAAAAGTTTAGATGCAGATGATGACGATGAACTGGAAAAGACTCGTTGTTTGGTTGATTTTCTAGCATGTCGACGCATATTTTTCTTAATTGGACGCATACTTTGATTGTAAATGTTTACAAAGAATATTTTCTTCTGATAAAATTCAATAACCAATTGAGGAACCAAAACATTTGTCAAAGTTGAAGGCATTAGCGTTTTTTTACCACCTTCCAATAAGACATAATGAACTAATCTACCACCGATATTGGTAATGTCCAAAATTTGTGAAATATTTACATCATCAATGGGATGAGAAACATGATCAGGAAATGGAACTTGAACATCAGAATTTAACATTTCGTTTCGTAAAATCTACAAAGAAACAAAAGAAAAGTGTATTAAACCACAAGCTACAAAAAAAATCACGAAATAGAATAAAAAGAAAAAGAAAAAAAAAGCTGAAATCTAATAATTTGATTAATGTTTCTATTCATCTAAACAATCTAAATACACTATGATTGAGTAAACAAAAGATATACCAATTAACCTCAAGAGGAAAATTTAGCAAATGATTAGTCATTATCAATGGTCATCAACATGATGATTAAACAATTAACAGTCCAAAAGGTTAAGTTTGGTCATTAATGGAAAACCAATTTTAACCAAATCAACAGAAAAATAAGAGAACAAATAAAATCTTCAATTTCTATCAACAATTAGAATCATTATACTTACAATAAATTTCCACAGGCTATTGATGACTCTGTAAATGAGTTAATTGTCACAGTAATTAAAGTAATAAAAAGATTAATAGAGAAAAAAATAAAACAATTAAAAAGAAATCAAATCAAAATCAAATGAAAACGAGAGAGAGAGAGAAAAAAGCTAATTAAACAATCGTGTTAATGGAACACCAGATGTCGCCACGAGTGTTCGAGGGAAAAACTAATGTTATTCAATTAGAAAAGAAAATTTTTCCCTCATTGATTGATAACCAATCAGAATCGTTGGCGAATTTAAATTTAATTTGTAAAGAAGAATTTTTTTCAATTCTATTTTTTGTTTTTCTTTTGTCTTGTTATTTTCTATTTGTTTCTTAAAGGAAGTCGGGAAAAGGCTTATCTTTACGCAATTTCATCTGCTGGTTTAGCTTATACGGTAACCAAGGCCTGTAGTCAAAGTCTATTGGCTAATTGTAGTTGTGACAATGGAATCCGGAGTAAAACAACCAAAGGAAAATGGAGTTGGGGTGGTTGTTCAGACGATATTCAATATGGTTCTTTGTTTAGTCGATCGTTTCTTGATACATCGGAGGATAATAAAACTGCTGATGGTTTGATGAACATTCACAATAATGAAGCTGGAAGATCGGTAATGTTTCAATAATTTTCTCATTTTCTATTCTGTAAACTATTCTATTTGTAACTAGAGTTATTCTTGGGTGAACTCTTTTATTTATAGTATTACTTTTTGTCTTTTTATAAATGGTAATAATTTTTACGTTTTTTTTGCTCTTTACTTTCTTTTTATTATTTATTTATTTTTTTTTTTGGTGCCAAGTAGATTCTTAAATCTAAAATGGAAAGAGTCTGTAAGTGTCATGGAGTCTCTGGTTCGTGTACAATGAGAGTTTGCTGGCGTAAATTGGGATCATTCAGGGGAATCGGTGATGAACTGATGAAACGATTTGATGGAGCAACTAAAGTACGTTTGGTGGCAAAGAAAACAAAACCTCGACTCAAACCGATCATGAGAGAAGCTAAGAAACCAAGTAGACGAGATCTTGTTTTTCTTGAACCATCGCTCAACTATTGCGAACGAAATGAGACGTGAGTGTTTTTCTCCTTTTAACAAATGAAATCACCTTCTATTGGATTTACAGTTAATCGTATTAATTATTTACCTTTTTACTCATGTTTTTTTTCTTTCATTAAGACTCGGAATTCTTGGTACACAGGGTCGTCGTTGTAATGCTACAAGTTTGGATACTGATTCATGTAAATTACTCTGTTGTGGTCGAGGATATCATACAATGGTGAGAAGTGTCGAGGATAAATGTAACTGTAAATTCATTTGGTGTTGTCGTGTTGATTGTCAAAAGTGTATGGCACAAAAAGAGGAACACTTTTGTAACTAAATCAATCACTTGGACAACAATAATCATCACAATCATCACGAATACCTGGAAAATTACCTCATCATTTCACTTTTCCTCTTCAAAAGAGCAACTAAACTAATCCAATTGTCATCATAATCTTTCATCAATAGATTTCCCTATGAAACATGAAGATGATGATGTTAATCCCACCCGATAACCAAGACTGATTTAATATCCATTAATTGAGACAAACAAAAAATCATCTTCATAGATTTAAACATCAACTATCCTAATCATTTTCTTTTTCACTATAATTTGTGTTTCTTTTTATATATTAATAGAATAGAAAGAATCAACTTGATTACTTTCTAATCTTTTTACTCATTGAAATGAATTGAATGGATCTCTTTCAAACAAATATAATCATTATTGATTAACTAATTAACTATAAATATGTAAAATATTAATGAAAACTTTCTAATCCAATGAAACAAAGGTCAAACCGTTGATCTTTCCAATAGGAACAACAATTAATAGATTAAATCAACAATGACAATAATCATAATCACAATAAAAGATAATTAATTTACTTGTTATGCATAAATTGTGCTCAATCAACTGAAAAACAATTACATAATTGTCTTGATTGTAGAATAATAATTTTGTTAAGTTGAAAGTGATAACTGGTAATTACTTTTTTTTGGGTTGAACTTTTGATTTGGTGGTTAAATCGGTTCGAGTTAATTTACTCTTGGTACTCAAAAGTTTACTAGAAATCTTCAGGTCACCTTTGCCCAGCGACAAGAATTCGGATGAACTTTTCTTCGGTACCTTGTCACTTAATTCGAGCATCGGTAAAGTTTTCTCACTATAACCTAAAATCTTAACAAACGTAGACGATTTCGAGTCTAAATTGAACTCGACAGGTTTAATTTGCTTTTCGATGGTCCAGTGATCGATTTAATTTTCTGAATCGAAAGGTCAATATTGGGTGATAGATCAGGTAATATCTTGGACTTGGACTTTTTCACCGTGGGGTCGGTTAAAATGCTACTTTTAAGTTTCCTTTGAATTCGTGAGTTTTTACGTTTCGTTTTATTTTGTGAAGGTGGAACTACAAATCTGGCCTCAGTAAAAGACGATCCGAGAGCAATAGAGAGGCTAGAGTTTTTCTTCAACGGAATACGAGTGTAAAAAAATATCAACATACTGGAGAAAAGTACAATTCCCGCAATAAACGAAGCCGAATAGATCAGAACATAATATCGACTCATCCAATTATCTTGTATCAATTGCTAAAGGAAAAGTCGAACGAACAAAAATCAAATTAAACCAAGAAAATAAAGAAAGAAAGAGAGAGAATCGAAAATTCTACCTTGGAACAAGTGAAATAATTACAATCTGCCGGACAATTAGCGACTTCGAGGCAATCACAATGCTCTTTACCCTCTATTAGGCCATTTCCACAAACGGGCAAGGCCACATCTTCTGGAATTGACCTTCCACAGGTATAGTTTCTTTCGTACAGATATTCGCCAATACATTTAAACAGATCGGGTTTTTGATTGATAAACGAATCATACTCCAAAACCTCACAATTAACAGGACCGCCACCGTAGTTACATGTTTTTCCACAACTGATTATGTTGAATAATGAAATCAATATATCATCTCCCATCGAATATGGTTTGCCTGTTTGATTATAACTCCAAACGAATAACGGCATTCTATTTTCTTCACAAAATCTCATCCTCACGGCATTAAGTGACCGAGGCCTATTGTATAAAACGATAACCATAATGGTAATACCATCAATTTGATCCTTCCAAATATCTCGTAGTTTAAAATCAACCCAACGATCGAATTCTCTGTGGCTTACATTGACCAAAGATTCCGGAAATTTGGGCACATAGGAAAATCCTCTGACATATGAAATCATTCCTGTCTTGGATAATATTTTATTCATGTAAACGAGATTATTTTTCATGGAGGTTAAATCAGATTCCAAGTTGGATGTTGTTGATTGTTCATGGATAAAGTAAAAAGCCGGATAAACGATTATATCGACTGCAGTTATATTGGTAACCAAGGAAATTGTCAAATTAACTTCACTTATTTGGTCAATCCATTCAATTGTATCACTCCTCTCATCTGAATTAATTATCACAATAAATGTCAATAGAACCAAATTGTATAACCATCCTCTCATTGAGAATAATAAGTTAATCAATTGGAACTGAATAAAGATCAATGTGATTATCAATTTTTGCTTAAATCATAAATTTAAAGGTTTACAAATTATTAGTCTACTAATTAACCAAATCCTTTCACTTTACATTTAGTATCTAATTAAAAGTTGATCATTAATTTTGATGAAATGATGGTAACAATTAATATTGCTACTACACTGTACTAATTAAAATCCTTTTTCGAAAAATTTCGTTTACTAATTTAAATTGTCTCCTGAATTGTTACAATTAACTGGTTGAGATGTGTGGCAGTGTGGTTAGCTGGTTGTGTGATATAAACGACAACCACTGACTCCACTACCCATACATCCGATGCCTAAATCAACAATTAACTTAATCGTGACAATTAACAGCTCATATTGGAGAGGATCAACCATATCAATCGGAAGACAATTAAATCAAATTATTTAGCGACAATTAAAATTAATTTCATCTTCTTTTTTATCACCATGATCATCATCTTCGTTTAATTGTTGTTTTTCGCTTTTCTTGTTTACAATTAACTTTTGGAACCATCATCATCATCTTAATTACGATTAAATTGTGTGATCATCAGCACTGATCAGTTGTTCATTTCCGATTTTAATCATTCAATTTACCAAATTAAATGAAGAAATTTGATTAATATAATTTAACATCATTTATTAACCATCATAATCAGTAAATTGTTACAATTAAACAATCATGAAGATGAACCAACTCACAGAAACGATTACAATCAAAATTGGAGATTAATTTGAACTGGTAAATCTAATGTATCTAATTGTGACTTTAATTGTAACAAATATTTAAATGATTAAAATTAAACAATCTAAAATAAACTCATTTTAATCAACTAAATTGTGTCAACATAAATTAACAATTTATCAAGAAATAAATGATGATTTTATTGATAGTATTTTTTTTTATTCCCTCAACTTTAATCTCAAGGATAAAGATTAACTTTAAATCCTGTTGGTGACAATCCTTAATCATGATGTGAATAAAGTTTCAAATCCAAAAATTTGAACGGAATCAGCTGATAGTTGATAATCATCTTTGGAGGTTTGTTTTTGAATGACCAGGTAACGTCCAACTAATGGACAAGGCTAAACAATTAAATAATAAGAGAAACAAACAATCATTAGTTAATCATGTTAATCATGTTAATAAACTATTAATATTATAAGTTAAGCGCGTGTTGATTAATCATAATTGTAGAAATGATAATAATCCAATGATGATGACGATGATCAAGAAAAACAAAGTATTAACAATACAAAGACAGAATTTAACTTTTGTCTTGATTGTTGTTTGTTGTTGTTGATCAAATCAACGATTATTGTGAGTGTGTGCAAGTTAATTAAGTTTGAAGATTTAACAATTATTAATGAGTGGACACTTACCTTACACTGGACAATGTCGTAACCCTGAAAGAGAGAGAGAGAGAGAGTTATTAGAATCAAACCCAAAATAAAAATAAATTGCTCACAATTAAAGTTAATTTGAAGTGAATTTTGAAGAAAATTGAATTTGTTTCACTCGCTAGATGGCGACTCCTTGGAATTAATTCTTCGCATTAATTGTTTGCAATTAAGGGAAATTTTCGATCACTACCAATCAAATTAACTATTTATGTCAATAGATTTATGAATATTATCTCGATCATCTGATCCAAAGATAATTAAAGGTTAATTGTTGTTTCTTTTTTTTGTTTTGATTGTTTTGGTTACTGTTTATGTTTCTGATCAATCAAAAAATATAATCAATCAACTGAATCAGTTGATTATTGTTGCAAAAATAAACGGACATTATGATTGTCCGAATAAAATTAGATCAGGTTGATTATCAATCAAACTAAATTGTCATAGTCTTTGATTGTTTAGCCTCTTTTTTTTATAAACCAAATTAAGTTGATTGTTGTTTTTTTCTCAAGTTTATTTTCAAAATATTGACAATGATTAAATCTAATTACTTAACCATTTTATTATCAACTCTCTTCATATTACCTTTAATTGTGAGTAATTTAACTTTTCAAATCATTAATAGTTAACCTTTTCCATTACTAATTTTAATTGTGATTCGCAATTTATTTAACCAGAATTGTAAGGTAATCAATGAATTTTACATTCGGACATTTCCTGAGGACATTTCGATAACTTTTCCAGAGGGTCGAGTGATCAGCTGTCTGGCTAATTGTCCCGAAAAGGGTTGTAATTGTTTCAGGTTATTAATCAACAATTTAGCAAAAGTATAAACCAAACAATAACGTTAACAATTAACTTTCCTTTCCAACAATTAACTAATCCAGAATCTCTCGAGATGTGACCAACATTAATTGTGAATACGATGTCAGTGATATGAGTAAAAATGATAAATTCATTTACTACGCTGTGGTAAGTAAAACAATCAATTGATTAAACTTTCACCTTCTAGACAATTAACTTGATTGTTAAGCCTTTTTCTTGTTAATTTTCCAGTAAAATTAAATTATTATCAATCACCTTAGAGAATTGTATTGAAAAAAAAGAGATTATCATTGATTTCATTTTCTTTCTCGTTGGTTAATCAATTTTGCCCTTTGAAAAGTAATTAAAGTCCACAATTGATTGATTATTACGACGAAATCAATTAATAGTCTGTCTCTTTAACTGTAACAAAAAAAAATATCAACAAAACCGCAGATTAACAAACAGAATCAGCAATTAACTTAATTATTATCACCTAGAAAAGGAAACACCTTCAATCATTTTAATCAACACTAATCCAATTTTTTCCTCTCTCAATCAATTAATTTCAGGATAGATACAATTCAACAATTAGTACAGGTTAGTCTAATTTACACTAATCCAATCAAGCCAATTGATCAGGTTAATTGTTGACAATTTATTCTAGGTAATAATTTGGCTACAAATGCAAAGGTAACCAAAAGTTCTGGAACTGAATCAACTGAAAATCCATCAACAACTCATCCTTGGATTCAATTTGATTTAACCAGAGAGTTTACAATCACAGGAATTAGAATCCAATCAAACAAAGGTAACAATTAACAATCACAATAGTAGTCAATCAATCAATTAATCAATCAAATTGTACAAGACAGAGAGAGAGAGAGAGGTAACAATTTGATTACTTGATAACAACCATTAAATGGGTTGAGGTTATTTTCCGATGATTTATTTTTCATCACACATCCTAATTGTTGTAATTAACAGAGAGACATTCAATGATAATGTTAATTGTAAGTTAATTATTACAGGTTGATGATTAATAGTAATATGTAATAGAAAAGGGGAGATTTGAGATGATGTCAATTTAGATTTGATTAGAATCTAAATTAACACCTTAAATCTAATCACTTTCATCCCACCTCTAAGTTAAATCAGTGGTCATCTACTCCTTTCGTGGTGGTCATGATGATTAACTGATCATCATTATTATCATGATATTATCCAGAATTTTCAAGATTCATCATTTTATCAGAATTGAAAGTTATATTGATGGTGGAGAATGAAAATTTCTTCAAGATTTAATTTGTTTCCCCGATTTTGATGAGTTTTTTCATGAGGATAATTATGATGATTAAAAGATGGAAAATTTGAAAAAGAAAGTGAAAACTCATCAACCCTGAACAAGAACATGTTTTCTGAAAAATTATCTCTTTGAAACTGAACAACTACTTGATTACATAGAAAACAACAACATCGCTTGAAGGCATTTCAAGGTTATCAGCTAATTTCAAATCTTCACTTTACCTCTTTCTTTACTTTCTTTTCGGTCTCTCTCTCTTTCTCATATGAGGAAAATGAACAATAATGGATTCCACTTTCACTCTTTTGTATCATGTTTCCAATCAAAGTGTATCTTCACCATCAAATCAAGGATGAAATTACCCACCGCCACCATCTCTCTCATCACAATGCCCACTCCTCCATTTACAATCCATTGTATTACATTGATTGTTATAACAATTAACTGACTCACTGTTTTCCAATTGAATTATTACAATAATATTGATTAGTCACAGATCTCAAATGATGATTAGTATTCTCCCAATTTGATTCTAATCTCTCTCTCTCTCTCTCTCTCTCTCTCTCTCTCTCTCTCTCTCTCTCTCTCTACTCCAGAGTGGACATTTAGTGAGGTCCGAGTGGGTAAACAACCAATAAGTGAGGCTTTTAATGCTCGGCCCTTTGATAGCAATTCACTTTGTTCAAAAAAAGATGGCGGTCAACGAGGCTTTCAGGGTTACGACATTGTCCAGTGTAAGGTAAGTGTCCACTCATTGATAATTGTTAAATCTTCAAACTTAATTAACTTGCACACACTCACAATAATCGTTGATTTGATCAACAACAATCAAGACAAAAGTTAAATTCTGTCTTTGTATTGTTAATACTTTGTTTTTCTTGCTCATCATCATCATTGGATTATTATCATTTCTAAAATTATGATTAATCAACACGCGCACAACTTATAATATTAATAGTTTATTAACATGATTAACATGATTAACTAATGATTGTTTGTTTCTCTTATTATTTAATTGTTTAGCCTTGTCCATTAGTTGGACGTTACCTGGTCATTCAAAAACAAACCTCCAAAGATGATTATCAACTATCAGCTGATTCCGTTCAAATTTTTGGATTTGAAACTTTATTCACATCATGATTAAGGATTATCAACAACAGGATTTAAAGTTAATCTTTATCCTTGAGATTAAAGTTGAGGGAATAAAAAAAAATACTATCAATCAAATCATCATTTATTTCTTGATAAATTGTTTAATTTATGTTGACACAATTTAGTTGATTAAAATGAGTTTATTTTAGATTGTTTAATTTTAATCATTTAAATATTTGTTACAATTAAAGTCACAATTAGATACATTAGATTTACCAGTTCAAATTAATCTCCAATTTTGATTGTAATCGTTTCTGTGAGTTGCTTCATCTTCATGATTGTTTAATTGTAACAATCTACTGATTATGATGGTTAATAAATGATGTTAAATTATATTAATCAAGTTTTTTCATTTAATTTGGTAAATTGAATGATTCAAATCGGAAGTGACCAACTGATCAGTGCTGATGATCACACAATTTAATCGTAATTAAGATGATGATGATGGTTCCAAAAGTTAATTGTAAACAAGAAAAGTCCAACAATTAAACGAAGATGATGATTATGGTGATAAAGAAGAAGATGAAATTAATTGTAATTGTCGCTAAATAATTTGATTTAATTGTCTTCCGATTGAATGGTTGATCCTCTCCAATATGAGCTGTTAATTGTCACGATTAAGTTAATTGTTGATTTAGGCATCGGATGTATGGGTAGTGGAGTCAGTGGTTGTCGTTTATATCACACAACCAGCTAACCACACTGCCACACATCTCAACCAGTTAATTGTAACAATTAAGGAGACAATTTAAATTAGTAAACGAAATCGCAAAAAAAATAAAACAAAACAATCAAACCCACAAACGATTTAATTGCCACTAATCAAATAATAAGTCAATTAATTATAAATGGTTAAGGTTTTAATCAAAGGATAAGAATTGAATCAAACAAAAACTCGAGGATTTTAATTGTGTTATTTTATTAATTGTTACCAACGTTTCATCATCAATTAGATTAATGATCAACTTAAATTAGATACTAAATATAAACTCAAAGGATTTGATTAGATTTAATTTAATTTGTTAACCTTTTAAATTGTAATTAAATCAAAATTCATCATCACACTAATTTATTAATTAATTGTCTTAACCTCTCTCTCTCTCTCTCTCAATATCATAACAATTAATTAGTTAGTTATTTTTAATCATTTACTAATCAAAATCGGTCTAATTAATATTAAGATTTTTATCAACAATTAGTTGTATTATTTTATCATGATTAACGTGATTAAATTGTGTGATTGGTACCAAATGATTAGTAATATAATAACAATAGAGATTGTCAAACAATTAAAGTGGAGAAAAAGTTGATTAGAAAATTAATTTATTGATTATTAATCACAATTTGATTAATGTGAACAAAAGTGAATTTAATTTAAAACAATTAGAGTGATAAATCTAGAAGGTAATAATTTATTTATTCAATTGTAAAGACAAATAATGTATTAAGATTAGATTATTATTAAATTGGTGACAATTAAAGTTAATTGTTGATCGATTTTGATTAAACCCGTTGATTGGAAACTGTTGAATTGATTGTTGATTAAAATGTCAATGGATTGCGCCCCAAACTAATGCATTTACATAATTGTAATTAAATTTGATTCTATTGTAAAACGCATTTTTGAGACGTAATTAATTAACATTGTTAGTAGTTGGTAAAGTAAATTGTGATGATTAAGTTAATTGTTTGGAGATGGAAATGGTTAACAGGCAAACGAATCAAATTGATTGCATAAAGTTAGTCTGAAAGATTAAAGTTAATTGTGTTAGTTAATTAGTAATGATGATGACAAAAGCAAATAGACAAGCAGCAATAAAGAAAAGTAGGACAATCAAAGGACAATCAGATAGTAGAAAAGTTAACCAATCAACTAGAACAATTAGTTAATTGTTACGACGACAACAACAACAACGAGAAACAAGAAACAGGAAAGAAAAAAACTTTTATCGAGAGAAGAAAAAGTTTTTTCGTTCACTTTGATTCTATCAAATTCTGATAATCGAAACAAGTTAATTGTGATCAGTTAATTATTATCATTCTCAGTTTGATGATGATAATGATGATGAATATAATTATGTTTACTAAATTGTCAAGGACTTTTAAAGGACGAATAGGTTATAACGAGAAAGTGAATATTGTTGCCAACGAAAGTTTAATTTCTAAACATTTTCTTTTTTTCATGTTCAGAATCATCATCATGAAACATCATGATAACGATGATAATTTCATTATATAACTGGATGATGATCATGTCAACAAGTGAAAGAAAAAGTTGTAACGTCATAGAAGCAGAAAAAGTAAAAGTAATATAAGAAAAACAATGTTTATCATGTAAAAATCAATTCGACTCAGAACTTTGAACTCACAACTTTTCTTTTGTTTTTTTCTTCATCCAATTAACATACACTCCAAATCATCACATATAATTCAATCATCATGTGATCTTTTCGTCTCATGATCATCATCATCATCGTTTACATGGTAAGTTCTGGATTATCTTCAATGGAAAAGGTGAAATGTCAATTCTATCTCATTCTGATCAAGGTTTTCCTTTTCAGCTCAAACGCAATCATCATCATCAGTTTCTTCATCATATTTACCTTTAGATGTCTTGCTCATCATCTTCAGCATCATCATCATCTCATCTCTCTCTCTCTCTCTCTCTCTCTCTCTCTCTCTTCCAATCTCAATATTAACCACCCACTCAAAATCTGATATAATCATCCTCATAATGGACTTGAGGTAAAAAAACATTTCGATGCTTGTTAATATCTATGACGAAGGTTAGAGTTACCATGGTAACTCAGAACTTTTTTTTTCTCGAACTTCAAATGAGATAAAAGAAATTCGAGAAAAAGTTTCGAGTTTGTTTTTTGTTACCTCTTTCACTTTACTATTACTATTTTATTATCGAGTAAAATATAATCAGAACAATCTAATTGAAAGTGCATATCCTTTAAACCAGGAAAAATTAACTAATTGTTTAGTAATCAATGGTAACATTTGAAAGGATTGATTGTTGGACTTTAATTGTTTTGATTGTCAAGGTTTTTCTCCCCCCTAATCCTTTAATTTAATTTTTTTTCCTCCTGAGATGATGATCAACAATCAAATTGAAATGATCACAATTCAATACAAAATCAACAACAATCAATTCATGAACTTGACGTCAAGGCAACAACTCAATTCACTGAATCAACATGAACAAACTAAATCAACAAAACAATTACAATTAATCAAGTTTTGTGTATGTATGTGATTGTTACCATTACAATTATAACTACAAAAAGGACAAAAAGTAAATCAATTGATAATCAATGGAAACTAATTGTTGGTAAATTAAATCAAATAGACAAATAAACAAATATGATAAAGATTGGAAACAGGAAACAGGAAATACAAAGAAAAAAAAATGAGAGAAACAAAAATTTAACAATCATTGGAAACAAACAATTAAAAAAAAGGGAAGTAAATTAAAACGTAATCAGTTAATTGTTTGAAAAAAAACAGTTAGAAAGGTAAAGGCCAAAAGCTTAATCGTAACAATATGATCAACAAGGACATGGAGAGATAATTGTAATCAATGGTGAAAACAAACAATTAAGATCGTTATGATTGGGAAACAATGGAGAAGTTAATTGTGATAAAGATAATCATATTTACCAAGGAAATTAGTAAATTGTAGTGATTGGGAAATGAAAAACATTCAATGATATTGAGGGTAAGGATGATGGTAGACAATTAGAGCACAATCTTTGCAATCAGTGGAGAATTAAGTTAATTAGCAACATGATGGTGATGGTGGTGAATTCAAGGTAAGGGTGGAGAGGGAAAAAGTAGATTAAGGTGGAAATTGATTGTTAATTAGGGCGAAAGAAGCAACAAGTTGAATTGAGATTTTGTATCGTTGGTGATTAACGAGAAAACTTTGCAAACGAAAACGTTTTTCAGTTACTTTGGTTACGAATTTGATAGTTTTACTTATTCTTATTCTTGTTTACCTGAAAACTTTTTGTTTTTTTTTTGGTTCATTAATGGAAATTAAACTTTTCTCTTTGTTTTGAAATTGTTTTTCTTTTGCTTAATTGTGATAATTAACTTTCGGATAATCAAATGTATCAGGGGCTATGTGAGAAAGGTTAACTGAGATACCACCAGCTGTGTTCACCCAGTATATTAACAATTAAGATGTGAGCCCAGCGTGGTATCCAGCAAACCATTTCCATTTAAATTGTTACAATTAAATATCATCATCAACTTAATCATTATAATCAACGAAACAACAATAATTTAATTGGCGATTCCAGTGACCGAAGATGTTGCATTGTTAGTATTGTTTTTGGATTCAAGTGGAGGGAAAGGTCAAAGGAGGTGGAAGGAGAATCAGAGAGAGAGAGAGAGAGAGTGGGTTTCATCATGAGAATAGGTCGAAGGTGAGAGAGGGAGGGAGGAGGAGAGAGAAGATGAGAGGATTAGGGAAACGTCTTGAATTTTAATCGCAAGATTTATGGGCTAATTTGAATTGGAAAATTTATCTTTTATAACCTTCCACTTTCTATTAACATATTTCGTTGTAACGATTTAACGTAATCATTGATTTTCTATGGGAGATTTTTTTAAGTGGAATCGATAAGGTGAGAGAGAGATGATGATAAATGGATGATCAGATTAGAAACAATAGTTTACTGTTTATGGTTTGATATTAAAACAATGAGGGAAAAGAGGAAGAGGAAAAGGGGAGGATAGACATATGATAGATGATGATGGTCTGTGGGTGGAAGATAAAGAGAGACAGAGACAGAGACAGGAAAGGTAAATGTCATCCTAATCATCCTCATCTTTTTGTCTATAAATGGAAAATAAAATGTCAAAGGTTATTAGGTAAGTGGTTTACCAATTCAAGACGTTTCATCATTGTCATTATGTTCAGTTCATGATGAACTGAGCAACTGCTCTGTAGAAATAAGAGAGAGAGAGAGAAAGAGGGAGATTTCCAAAGAAAGAAAAGAGAGAGAGAGAGAAACCAGAAAATTAACCAGAATTCAACCAGAATTCAACCAGAATTTAACCAGAGTCGTAATAATTTAGGAAAACAAACACCGATGGTAAATAAACACAGCACAGAAAATGAGACTCAGAAAAAGTGTTGATCATTTTGTACCAGGAAAATAATCAGGTAACCAGAATGAAGAGAAAGAGATGATAAAAAGAGAGAGAAGAAAAGTTTAGTCTTCTCTTTCTTTTATTTATCATCATCTCTCCTCTCAAATGGATAAACACACATTTGATTGTTGCCACTAATCCAATCAACAGATTGTTTTCCTTCACAATTACAAAAGTATTGACTTGGAATCAGTTGCTTTTAATTATCACAATTAATTGATGACAATTAACACATTTGGACACAAACACAACAATCAACTCACTAATCATTTGAATAGAAACTCATTTGAGAAAGAAAATCATTTACATGATACAACAGAATTGAAATTAACACTAATCGGGAACAAGAATTAACAGAGACAATTAACCTTATATACTAATTGATGAGAGAGAAAATGAGAGAGACAAGAGAGAGAGAGAGATAAAATCATCCTCATCATCATTGGAAAGAAAGACAAAAAGAAAGAGAAATTGGAATCATTTTCTTGTGGGTGGTTTTTTTTTCTCATCATTTGTTTCAATTGAAGAAATTGAAACAATAGCAATTAATCAGGTAATCTTCATCTTCCTCATCATCAGCTCCCTTCCTAATCATCACTAGACTTGACAATCATCTGGGATTTAGTTGTTATCATTGATTGTGAGGCGTTGGCATAATAATTAATAGTAACAATTAACTTGATGATTGAATAAGAGGTTTACTTATTTTTTATCCGAATTTGGTTTCAATTAAGTGGGAGGCGTTTTTTTATTAGTTTAATTGCTATTGTGTGTTAATTACAACAATTAATTATCCATTGATAGGTAATCACTGACAAAACAAGGAGGTAAATTAAAACAATAGCCCTAATTGTTTGTGTATTAATATTATCATTGATTAACTGACCTCAATTAAATTGGTAACTCTAACCGGGAATCAAAGGTTAGATTGTCAGGTTGAGATTTGTAATAATTAGTAAATTGTTTAGGTGATCAGTTTTCAATAATAGAAACAAAAGAAAGAGACTAATCATGATAATTAATTGTCTCTCTCTCTCTCTCTTTTGTATTTCTCTCAATTGTATCAAGTACAACTAGAAGACACAATTGAATTTACAATTAACTAATCAAGTGAATCAATTGTAAACCAATTAAAATAAATACCAATTGAAAACAATAGGATTGATGATAAAAAAACTGATTGGATTTAATCATTGATTAACTTTTCAACAAACAACAATTAATTTCATTTTGGTGTAGCAATTTAGGTGGTTAATTGTTAATTTAATTGTTTTCATTAGTTAATAATGATCAGATAAATGAGGAGAGAGGGAGAGAGAGAGAGATTATAAATGATGAGATATTTAAGTGAATTGTCAGTTTGATTTAGTAATTAGTTAATTACCGATTGATTTTAAAGTAACAATTAGTGGAGAGTCGATTAGTTTTTTTTCCCAAACAATTTAGAAAATTAATTTTTTGATTAATTTTTTTCTCTCCTCAATATTGTGGATTCGTTTGCTGTTGATTAAGTTTCCATTTCTTTTAATTGTTAACAATTAACTTTCCATTGTCGGTTATAATTAGTGTCTCATTTATATTATATTAATCAACATGTTCAACAGTTTGAAATTCAACGAGATTTAATTAAAAGAAAACCAGATTACATATGTTGTGATTTATTTCACAACAATTAACAATTAACAGCAATTAGCTAATTATATAAATATAAATGTAATCATTAATAACTATTGTCAAGGTAAATGCAAAGGTAAGTATAAAAAAAGGTAACGACGTAGTTAATGAAAAGAAAGAGAAAATAGAAAGTAAAAGTTTTGCTCTTTCTTTTTCTCTTTCTTTCCTCTCAAGGGTAGGGGGTCATTTCCAATTCGAGTAGTGGTCAGTTTGTTGATGGAAAATAACAATCGTGATTACAATCAATTTGATTGTGATTAAGAGGAGAGAAATTAATTCGTCACTGAACTGACCATTTGGATCGAATTGAAAACTGACCAAGAGGAAATTTGAAATCTTCTATTCGAGGAAGAATCATCACAATTTAATCGACAATTAAGTTAATTGTCAAGGAAAATGATCTAAAGATTTCGTAGTTAATAGGGAAAAAGAAGAAAATAGAAAGAAAAGAAAGAGAATTTTTTTTCTCTCTCTTTTTCTACTTACCTTTTTTCTTAATTATTCTTCTTCATCTTCATCATTTCATAATTAATCATCATCTTGATTAATTGTTACATGATTGTCGTCAGATTAAATTAACTTCAATGGTTGATTGAGGAGATGATTGTTGATCAAGTGTTTGAACATGATTGGTTTTTGTTCAATTGTTTCAAAGCCATTTTTAGAGGGCCCGATAATTGAGTTAATTGTTAAGAGAATCGAGAAAAATATAATTAAACAAAAAAAAATATGATGATTAAAGGTAAAAGTTGATCAGTTTTAATTGTTCTCATTGTTGATACTGTTGTTATATCATTGATTGTTTCATATTTTTGTTGATTAAGCGGCGGCAACGGTGACAGCGATCATGGTGATTAATTTAATTGTTGTTGTTGTTGTTTTATTTTGAACGTTAAGTTGGTAGTAAATTTTGATTAGATGATTATGATTAACTTTGGATGGTGAATGTTTTTGATAAAATTTAAAGAAACAAAATTAAATAGTTGATTTTGACAATTTGTTTGCTGGTTGATTGTTGTTGACTGTTGATTAGAAATTGTTAATTTAGTTTCTTGATCAACTTTCAAACCAAACTACGCACCAAATGATCATTTCTACGCATTATCCTATTGTTTACGCCATAGAGTGAGTCGAGTGAGAAGATGATAATGAGTAGGGAAAGAGTTGGGGGAGCGGAAGAGAGAAAGAGAGAGAGAGAGAGAGAGAGAGAGAGAAATGAACTAGATGATAAATTGAAAGATGATGAAGGAGAGAGAGAGGATCGGGTTAAGGTGAAAAGATGTTATTTTCTCATCTTCTAATCATTTTTTATCATCTTTCATTCTCTCTCATTCTCTCTCATCCTCATCATCTTATTACAAGTTGAAACGTAGTTGAACTTGAAATACCAGTAATGGCTACGAGAAAGTTGCTTTTTATCAGAAACGTCAGGAAAGATGATGAAGATGAGGAGGAGGATGATGACGACGATGTCTCTTCGGCTAATGTCACAAAAAAGAAAGAGAAGATAAAAAGTAAAGAGAGAGATGGAGATGGAGAGAGAGAGAGAGAGAGAGAAGAGGCTCCTTCTTTTTAACTCTTTCTTTTTTATTCTCTCTCAATACTACACACCCTAACGATTTCCACCCACCTTTTCTCACTATCCCTCTCTCTTCTTCTCTCTCACTGATGATGCATTCGTATCCATGGTAACCTAATATGTGTCTCTATGGATGATGATAAAGAGAGAGAGAAAAGGATATACCTTGACCTATTGACCTTCAAAAAGAGTGCGCATCAATAGACGATGTTTATAAATATAAAACATTAATATAAGTTCATTTATCGATTTTATCATGAGAGAGAAGAAAAGAAGAAAAAAAAGTTTTTACACAGACTCGAACTTAGAACTCGTTACTTCTTGTAGCTAACTTTAGATTCTCATCTTCTCATGAAGATAAACTTATCTTCTTATATTTTCTTTTTCTTTTTCATCTCATCATCATCTCTTCCCTACCAAAACCACTGTAAATCTACCAGGAAGAAGCATAATCAATATTTAATTGCAATTAATTTTTTCCCTCGAATCAACATGATAAATCTAATGATGAATTTTAATTTTCTTTCTTTTTTTCCGTCAGAACTTATTTTTCTTCCTCTTAAAGGGGGAAAAAGAGATGAAGTTCTTACACTCATCTTCACTTATGGATTAAAATTTTCAAGGTCGTGGAGTTGAAACATCATCATGAAAGTGAATGATGAAAAAATCGATTGAAATTAGTATTAATAGATTGAAATGTTGATTTCGAATTTAAGAATTTTTTTCATTCTCTTTTTCGAACCAACGAAATGGAAAAAAAATCGTTCGATTAATTGATTGGCTCTCTCTCTCTCTCTCTCTCTCTCTCTCTCTCTCTCTCTGTCAATTTAGATTCTATCATGATAATTAACATGGAAATTGTTACCATGAACAGAATAGGAGATAACCTTGAAATTAGATTAATCATTTTTCCCCTTTCCCTTCATTACTCTCAATTTAATGATATTCATTGAAAATTCATTTTAAAAAGATTCAAGTGATTAAAAAAACTAATTGTTGAATCTCTGATCAACAATTAACTATTTTCAAATATCCAATTCAATTGTTTAATCGTGTTCATCTTACCTGATTACTGGTGAAAAAAAACATGATGATTACGATTGAATGGATTGAACAAAAAGTCATGATTAAAATTGATTCTTTTTTTATCCTTAATCGAAATTTAAATTTACAGAATTAGAATTACAATCAAGGTCCAATTTTCTCCAAATTGAGTACAACGAACTTTTTCCCCATCGAGCAGCGATTATCATCTCATCATGAGCACTTTCTATTATATTTATTCTTATAAAGAATCGATTTCCATTGAACTTTTTTTTCGAAATTAAATTTGAAAGAAGATCTTTTTTCTTTCTTTTCAAGGTCAACACCAAACAATAAACTAATCACATTCAACTAAAATGAATTCTATTAACTAATATCAAGAATTATAAAAGAAAAGAAATATCAACGAAAACAGTTCGATCGATTTATTAAAATCCTTGTAATGTCCTAAAGAGAGAAAAGAAATGTTCGATGTTAGATTGACCTTCGAAAATGTTTTTCTTTCCTTCTTTGTACAATTTTCGTTTATCACTTAATCATCTCATCTCATTCATCTTGATGATAACGATCATCATTAACAATAACAATGCCAATTAGTCATTAATAATCTATGATGATTAGAACAATTTACTCTTTCTTTTTTCAGGGTTAGTCCATGAAACAACAGGTTCGATGTTCGAAAAATGTACAAACGACTCTCTCTCTCTCTCTCTCTCTCTCTCTCTCTCTCTCTCTCTCTCTCTTTTCTTTTCAATTTCATTTTTCCTCCAACAGGTAAGTCTAATATCTCCCCTGAATCATCATAATTAACCCCATGAATTCTGGGAGGGAAGGAGAGAGAGAGAGAGAGAGAGAGTGTATGTGTACATGGGAGTGGGAGGATGAAGTAAATTAACCTGGAACCATTGTTTACCCGTATGCCTGAGTAAATAATAGTCACGATACATAAAAGGAAATCAGATTTAATAATCATTTTCATAATCATCATGATAAAAAGGAACTGAGTAGTTGGTTTAAGTTCGTAACGAACCTCTAACAACGTAAATTATCATGAGCTGAGAGCGCAGAGGCTGTTGTATTGTTGTAATAACTCGTTGGCCCTGAGAGTTTTTTTCTCTTTCTTTCTCTTTATTTTCAAGGTCGTATCATCATTCATAAGAAAGAGAGAGAGAGAGAGGGTTTACATGGAAAGATGAAGATGGAGATCTCTCTCTCTCTCTCTCTCTCTCTCTCTATGAGAAATTCTGGTTCCATGGTTACTCAAAAATTCAGAGTTGATGAGCCATTACAACAATAAACAACAGAGAAAGAGAGATAAATGGGTGTGGTGAGCATGATACGAACTGAGTATGTGTATATTTGTATTCGTTAGAAGATGAGAATGAGAGAGGCAAAAAAAGAATTTCTTCTTTTTGATTATTCGTTATATTCACTTTTGTTTATTTCGTCTTCTCCTCCCTCCTTTATGATTTTCCTCCATGTTTATCGCCATCTTCATCTCAATCAGATTCTGATTATATAAGTCTATTGATGATAATAACGATTCTAATATTACAAGAATATAATTATATTCATCATGGTGAATTTAATTCTGCATTTATATTCAATTCTAAGAAGATGAAACTTGTCCATATAAAAATAATAACGATGAAGATGAAGATGAAGATGAAGATAAAGAAAATAATAATTCTGAGCAATGGTAATATAACCATTCAAGTTAATTATTCTTTACCCTTTTCTTTCAGGGGGAACAGATTAACGACCCTGTAACCTTGATTCTAACTTGAATTGAAACTCATAATTTTCTTTCTTTCATCATCATCATCATGACTTGTTCAATTTTACTGAATTTCTAACACCCAGCAACAGTTTTTTCATCTTACCTTTACAAGTCCATTTTCATAGAAACTTTTTTCTTCTTCTTTGTCTAAATTTTCTGGTCTGTCTGGTTATCATCAACACAGAATTTTTCACCAAACTGACCTTGTCCATCTACTTCAATTCATCATGTAGTTGAATCATTTGCTCAGTTTAAGGAACCATGAAAATCTGAAGAAAGAGCAAGAAAAAAGTTCCATCTCAACTTTTAGAATTCATGAATTGTTCATGATTCTTTATTCAGATTATCAGGGGATCCATTTGAATTCATAGGATTGGGAAATTGTTCTGATTTAATAATTGAACAACATCCGACAATTTAATCATCACCATTAGCTTATTAATCAATTTACATTCACTCAATTATCTGTTAACATTCAGCATCGTTGTCACTTTAACAATTAAAATGATCGCTTTTGATTTGGTAACAATTAAACTTGATGGTGACAATTTAGAGACATTAGGTTAACCCTGTTAATTGTTATCCTTTGTTGTTGGTGTAATTAAGTGACAATTAACTCTAAACCCATCAGAGTTTTATTTTTCTTATGGTATATAACAATTAAGGGGAAAAAGTTTATTCAACAATCAACTAATTGTGTTTCTATTGTTCAAAACTAATATTTCAACTTTCAATTAACTTTTTCTCCAGGGAGAGACAAACAATTTATTGATTTTTCTTTAGTAATCAATTAAATCATTTACTATTATGAAATTAATTCCTAATTGTTGACCAATACATGTTGACAATTTAACTTTTTATGATACTTTTGGTTGATTGTAAATTGTGATGATTGATTTTCAATGTCATGACCTTGCTAATAAATTGATCCATTGTTGGATCAATGATATCGATTGGATAATCAATTAATCATCAATCCTGGTGATTAGTATTTATAATAATCATCATCATTAAGGTCTAATTATTTGCTCGACAATTTAAAATCATTTATTGTTTCAGTTATTGAATCAGTTAACCATCGTAATCAATTATTTCATAACAGTCAATCAGCTTTTTCAATCAAACAATTTAAATTGCTTGAGGGTTGGTTAATTTAAAGCTTTGATTATTGATTAATCGCGTGTTAATCATATTATCAACTTTCAATTTACTAATTGTTGACCCTCTTCAAATCAAATCAATTGATTTAAATTTCATTCTAAGCTAATTATAAACAGCTAAATGTTTATTTTTCACAACTTAAAGTAAACTAAAGTAGCACAATTTACTTTTCATTTTTAGATCATCAAAAGATACAAACAATTTATGTATCATTAATTAACAAGATTGACTATTAAATGATTTCTTCAAGTAATTAAAAGTTAATCAAGTTACGAATTCAAGTGTTGGTTTCGCCATCTGGTGAGTAGAAAAAAAACTTTTTCGATTGAAAAAAATTATCACTTTCACTTAATTGGACTTTAAGATTTTTGATCAAATGATAAATAACTTTAAGCTTTATAAGTGGCTCAACAATTGATTGTTGATTTAACTTAATTAGGAAGATGGAAAGTTAATCAATCTGAACAATTAGATTGGGTTTTAAAGATGAACAAGTGTATCTATGGTGTTTCAGTTGATTGGACGATTTGTACTGTTGGAATGATTAATATTTGATTAGTTAATTGGTGATTAGACTTGAATGTGTAGAGAAAAAAAAATTTAATTCGAACAAAAAAAAAGAATAAAAGAAAGTTCTAAAATTAAACTAATAATTTTCGGAATTGTTTCCACAATTAGTTAAATATTACATTGAGAGTTAATCTTTTTATAAGTTCTAAGAGATTTACAATTTATTCTGGATTGATTGTTGTTTGTTGATTGATAACTCGACCTTCAGTGGTCATTATTGCTTTAGTTTCTTCCAAGGTGAATGTTAATCTTAATCCAGTGGTTGACATTTGTTTTTCATAAAATTCATCGAAAATCTCATTCTGCCCAGGAGTAAAGTGACTCATCCAATCACCAATTCTACCTGATCTCATGAAATTACTAAGCTGATTATCAAAAAGACCCTTGACCGGAACTTGTGATCTGTTGACCGCTTTGTTACGTTTCATGTTATTAAATGAACAATGATTGATAATCTTTGGTATCATCTCCTCTTTTACCGGTTTACCAAGAAATTCACCAATTAGCTTGACCATTTTTGTTAAATCCTAAAAAGATTAGATTAGATTAAAGAAAAACGAATTAAATAAAATGACCAATTCTTAAACTTTATCTGTACTTTTCTCTTTGTCATGATAAACTGACCGTTTGCATTTCTTCATATGAAATGGCCAGAATTTTATCTGGATGTTTCTTTGCTTGTTCCCACCAAGCTTTCGTATGGTCAAACCATGATCCATACACAAGGTGACCTTGAAGATAACAATCGAAAAACTTATTCCAAGGATGCCGTTTACACCCTAGAAATCCAGCAGTCTCATGGAAATGATAATACGAAACCAATTGATCTTTAGGATTCCTTAGAACCAGAATAACCTGAGTAAATATTAGGAAAAACATGATAGAAAAACAGAAAATTAGAACTCAGTTTGTCTGAACTTTTTTTTTCATCTTCATCTCTTTTGGTACAATCATATCATGGAAATAAAAAAAAAATTGGTCGAACTCAAAATAAATGTAGTCTATTAGATTAACGTAATAAGAATATTAAAAATCGATAACAGTTCTGGTGATAAGGTTTCGACAGAAAAAAAAAGTTCATCGAGTTTCAATGAGATTCTTGACCTTTTAACATTTTCATTGAAATTTATCATTTGGAAACGATAACAACAAATAATCAGTTGTTATCGTTCAGGTGAAAGTTTTTCCCTGAAAATAAAAACCAATATTCAATCAATAGAATCTTAATAAACTGTCCTTTGGAATTACAATTAGTAATCTTTGTTAATCAGCCAAGCAATTAAATCCTAATGGTAATAATCAAAGCAATCATCAGCTAATTACTTTTCTAATTGGTTGATTAAATTGTGTGTCCGGTTTTGATAAATTTGCTTACAAACATTTAGATTATCATGGTTGATGATGTTAATCAAATTGCTATTGATTAATTAAAGCGTCATTAAATTGTTAATGGAAAACCTCACGTTTGTGATTTGATTAACATGATCATTAAAATTATACAACATCGTTAATTGTATTAGATCAAATTTCAGTGGAAACTAATCAACAAATAAAAATAATCAACCTAATCCAGTGTAGGTGAACTGGATCAATACTAATTGTTAACAATTAACAATTTTCTCATAGGTGACCAATTAAATGACTAAATAAATCATTGGAATGATTTGGTTTCAATAAAATTAATTAAATCAATCTTGCTGATTACAATTACTACACTAGAAAAGACTGTGATTAAATTATAATCACACCAATTAAAACAATCAAAGGTAAAATCTAATCAAACAATAGTATTAATTGTAACTAGATCATAATCATATAAACCTAACAATTAACAATCAAATTGTACAATTGTTCAAATCACACGTTCATCAAACTTAATTAAGTTTTTGTTTTCTTAATAAAAGTTACAAATTGAATTAAATTAACTTTTCTATCATTAATTAAAATATTATTCAAATGATTACAATTGTTTAATCATTAAATGAACAATTAAAATGAAAATACTTATATTACTTTTAATTATTGTAAATAGTTAATGAGTCATAATAAAAATAAATCAATTAACTAATCCACTTAATCATCATCAGATACTAATTGCTAAAGTCAAGAATCATAATAACATGAAGGTAAAATAATAATAATAATAAATTGTAAACAACAATTTAAACTGAGATATTAGTTAATTATATGTAATTAATTGTTTCTCCTTTCTATTAAATTTCCGTAAGGAATTGGCAAGAAAATTGATCAGTAATTATAGTTGATCAGTTGACAGAGTTAATTCAGCTTACCTTACAATTAAGATTTCTTAATTGTTTGGGACAGTATTGATATGGAAGGTGAGTTGCCAGTAACCTTGGCGAGGGAATTGATGAGATAACGGACTCATGACGAAATGGAGCACCAACTTCGAGGTGAACAACCCGTTCATGTAGATCAATGGACAGAAAATCGGGATCAGCTTCGGAAATGATGCAACTTAGAACCTCTTCCGTCCAAGTTGTTCCCGATCTCGGATAGGAAATAAGGAAAACATCATCCGATCGAAGTGGAAACTCCTCCAGGTTAGACAAAAATTTAGGTGATACCATGTAACCCTGAAGTAATAATCCTCGATACATTTTAGCCTGTGGTATGGTTGACATATAATATTGCCGAAGGGGATCTTTAATATCCTCAAGAGCATCTTTAACCTTGGAAACTGAATCGTTGTTCTTATATGGATCAGTAAAATTGGTCCATATATTGGCCACTTCCTCTGTGAGTAAAAATTTACCTATTGGATTAGTGTACAAAAAAGGAAGTGAAACTTTTTTAACATAAGTATTCAGTCCTCGTGATTTGGTCATTTTCATCTAAAACGGTTGGTCAAACTCGTAACAATGTCCAGTAAATCTTTCTCTCAGTTTCTCTTTAATATTTTATGGAGAATAATTTTCCTCCGATTCTCAAAAGTAAATTACTTTCGTCCTTGCGTTTGACAATATCACTGATGGATTAGTGTGGTCACTAGAGAGATTAGGATTTTCTCAGAGTTCTTGGAGTTAGTTTTATTATTATTTTCGTTTTCTTGTTTACTTAAACTTAGTGATTGAATTTATATTAGTAAAGAGATATTTTTTATTACTGTGTATACATCAGAGAGAGAGAGAGAGAGAGAATCGTTCACTTCTCCATGAACATTTCTGTTAATCTACTGAGAATTGGAACTTTTTTCAGGTAACTTTCCTCAGAGTCTAATTTTTTTTCCTTTTCCTGTAGATTCAACCAGTGAAAATAAGAGCTTGAGTGAGAGCGAGAGAGAAATACAAAAGGAGATTACAACTCGAATCAATTTAATCTGATTTTTATATTGTACTTTTGTAATTCAGAAATGGTTAGCTTGTAATCAGTGATAATGATTAACTAATTTGTATTAATTGATTTCAATTGAATTCAGTTGAATTGATGAAAATTTCAGATACACAAATTCACTGAGGTAACACAGACAATGGATTGTTAATTAGTTGACTGTTGATGGTTTGACGAGACACAAAATTTGATCATATGTTAGATGTCACAATAAATTTTTAATCACTTAATCACTGGAATAGACAATCAATAGATTGTAATTAACTTTTCAACTTGTAAACAAAATTTTTCATTCAGATCATAAACTAATTGGAAATTGTTTTCAACTTTGATTATAATAATTGTTACTTTTAGATGATTTTCTTTCAAGCTATTAATTGTTGTAGGTTTAGCAATTAACCATTGTGACGATGATGATGACGATGATGATGGAAACTTAATTCAAACTAATAACAATTAAATCATCAGAGTAATAATAATAATCAGCTTTTGGTTTGATAAGAGTAATCAGTTGAGGGAGAAACCAGAATTGGTTGATTAGATTTATTATTTTAATTTGATTTGATTGCAACAGGATTACCTGGTAACGGTTGATTAGCTGATAATCACCAACAACTTAATCATCAACATAAATATCAACCTGATTTAAATACATAAATATTAACAAAATTGTAACCATTGGAATCAATTTGATTTACTAATTTCCAGTTAATCTAAATATCATTTATCTGTTCAAGTTGATTTACTTTGAAATCAAAATGAAAACATCAAACTCAAAGTCTCATTTTAGTTAATCAATTAAAAAGATTCAATACTCTTAATTGTTCACAGTCAAAGTCTTTTGTAATAATCAATTTAGTGCTTTGTTTGAACAGTTAAATTGTTGATAAAATTAAATTCTCGTTCGTTGATTGTTGTTTTTGGTATAACAATTTCCTTTTCCATGTAAATTGTTACTACGATTGTCAACAGCTAAAGTGTATTCAAGTGTAGATCGAGGATTCTGGGCTTAGCTTTTTGAGTGAAAATCAATAGAAAAAAATAATAAGTTGATAAAGATGATTAACTTGAATGAGTTAGATGGTTGATAATTATGATCAACTATTATTAATGATGATAATTTGGACGAAAAAATTGATTGTTGACATGATTAAAATATCGGAGAGAATTTTTTTTAATCATTAATAACAAGTATGAGTAGAAACTTTCGTATCGAAACTTTGATGACTCGAATTCATTTTCATTCATCAACAATATCAGAATTTTGAAATTTTCGTCTGATAATAATGAACTTTTCTTAAAATGTATTGATACCTTTGGTCAGGAAGATGAGTATTATGGATTCTCTCTGTCCAATCATTTTGTGGCAATTTTGATAATCCGATGCTAAGAGATATTAAGCTGGTTTTATTAGAATTCCTTATGAATGAATGCTCATGTTGAGCTATTTTTAGTATATTTTCAGAGTCCTTTTATTATTAATATTAATAGTTTAGTGATAATCTTTTTTTCAAAATTATTCACATCTTAATTATTAACGAAGACATCATCAAATGATAGATTGGTTGATAATTTAAACGATAACTTTGGTTCTTAGAAATTGATATTATATTTGATTGTATTAAGATACTTTATTGGCTTTGATTGTGCTAATTAACGGAATGATTTTTATTATAATCAATTAAATTGTCAAGGTTGATGGTTAATTAAATTGTTTATCGTGATAAAACAGTTTCTTTAATGTCTATTTTAATTGAGATCTAAATTAAAAATTATCTAGATAATTGTTATGGTTGACGTTTAATAGACAAAATAATTTCAGATGATGAAGATAATTAAGAGATAACTACTTGTAACTGTACTTAATAAATCAAATTACATGTACAAGTTGATCCAATCAAAGTGATGATTAATTATCCTCACGTTAATTGTAACAATTAGAGGATTTATCGAAATGAGTGGTGGGGAAAAGAGAATCGGCAACGTGGAAATTTCTTTCATATTCTTCTTTCAGATAATTGTACTGGTTAACATACATACAGCCAAAGACTTTGAGTTTGCAACCACTTTCTAAATCATTCACGCAGTTGAATATAATCAATGAGAGATACAGTTAACCCAAAGATATGATGATAAGTCTGTCCACTAATTTAAGTGGTGTAGTCTTAAAATGGTCAACTGATTAGATATCAAAAGTTATCTTGATTTGATTATCATTAACTGCGTGAATGATTTAAAAAGTGGTTGCAAACTCAAAGTCTTTGGCTGTATAATGTACTCTTCCTTTGATTGTGTTGAAATAGCCATTGGTCGAGAAAGATTTCGAAATGAGGCTGGAACCTTTAAGTTGACTACATCAGACTCATAATCAGCCAAAATAAACGGGAAAACGGGATATTGATCATCCTCCTTTTTGTCCAAATACTTAGTTCTCTGTCGAGGTTTTTCAGGCGAGTCACAGAAAAATTTACTAGGAATATCAAGATGACATCGGCGAAGACGTCGACGGACTCTCATCGGACCTTCAGTCGGATCAAGTTCCCAAGAGTGTAAGTAAGAATCTGGACAATACCAAACGGCTCTTTCATGGGTGAACATTTCAATCAACGATTTCCAATCTTTATGAATAGAATATCTTTCAGAGGAAAGATACTTCAAATGATTGATGAACACTTTACGCTCTTGGTTTTGAGCTTCAACGGCATCACGAGTTATACCTTGAGCGTTTTCAATTACCTTATGAGATAAGGAACGAAGTCGCCCAAGAGAAACATCATCTTGTTGACTGTTGATTAAAGCATTTTTCTCACGATTCTATTCGGCAAACCATTCACCGATCTCACGTTTGGAAAATTCTGTGGTCAACATTCGCTTATTAGGATTGTTACCGATGGGATTAATTCGAAGAAGATCACGAACTAGTTCGGTACTTTCATTGTCTTCACATGAGATGAGCAGATCTTTTAGGAACGATTCCAGTAAAGTGGCAAATCGATTATTAACCCTAAGCAGAAGGGACAAATTTTCGGCATTCGTTTTCAGAAAAGAGACATAATAAAGTCTCTCCGAAGTTGCTTGTAACGGTGAAAGTAGAAACAAGATGAGTCGGTATAGTTCATATCGAATGGCCTCTTTCGATGTTCCCATGAAACTGTTCAAAATTGATCGACGTCGTTTACTAGCCGGTCCTTTCTTATTTAAATCTAGAACTTGAAATATACGATTCGGGAAAATATGCCGTTTTGACTATTTCGAAGTGCCAATTGATTGTAAAAAATGTCCGTTTGAATTTGAAGAAACTGCAATTCATTATAAAAGATTTAAGAAGCTAATCTGTTTACCTCGAGGGTTAACCGATTTATTTTAAATGAACAAATAATTCAAGTCAAAATGACTATATCATTTATTTATCTTGACGACTATTCATGAAAACGGTCATTATCTAGTTTCCAACCTCAAGCTGCTACTTCTCTTTCTGAACTGACCTTATTAACCTTAATCCCAATGGTTATTTATGATTAATCTTAATGCAATAGTAAAGATTTTCTAATGGATTTCAACCTGATATATTATTAACAGTGGCACATATGTGGGCTTATCAATGCTTATATATTGCAAAATCTAAATATACATGTCAGAATAATCATGAAGTCATGAGGATGAATAGCAACCTTAATTAACGATCATTATCCTGAATAACATGTTGATTTAACAATCTTTTGTTTTGTTAATTAACCACATCTAAAGTAATACGAGAGGATGAAACTCTCAGTAAAAATCAGGTGAATTTATATAATTATCAACATTATAAATTCGGAATCTCAGTCTATTGAAACTTTGCTCTCTAATGATAAACCTAATAACAATCCCATCATGTTGATTAAAAAGCTTGAATGTTATCATAATGAAACTAATTATTTCCGATAAGGGATAGAATAGAAAACTCTGGAATCCCCTGTAGTTTAATATGAGTTTCAATTAAACCAAAGAAACAAGGAGATCACTTTTACAATGGTCAAAAAATTGAAATTATCTTGACCATTATTACCTTGGTTTATCATTATTATTATTATTACAACCTCTATTCATCAGCTGAGTTAAAACTTTTCTCATTATCAACATGACATGAGAAAGAGTTGAGCAATCATTTGATTAATAATTACAACTGATAACTTTTAATTTACAAATCAAATGAAATATGATAATTAAACATGAATATGAGGTTGATCATATTCTTGTATCTATTATAATAATTAAGTTTATTAATAAACATGTTTATCATGAAAGAGGTGATGTTTTGATTTTCTCCTTTGATTGAGGAAAAAAAAAGTTCATCTGATGAACTTTTGATATTTTCAAGTTGATTATTCTTTTTACCATATCTTGTTTATCTGAAGTTTTTTTTTACATGAGAATCATGATATAAACTGGGAATTTTGAGAAGGAATCACTTGGAAGTTTAATATGATAGGGATGAAACGAGAGATTCCTAATGAATTTTATCATTAGAAAAAAACGAAGAGAATATAAAAAAGTTTTTCTTTTTCTTGTTCTCTTGTTCTCTTGTTTTCTTTTTTTTTTGCTTGTTTTTTTTTCTGATTGTTATCATTCCATCCTAGTGATTCTGAATTAGTTCCTTATTGATAATGTATATACGATTTTCATCATGAATACACACAAAAATAGTGATGAAAAGGTAGCAAAGGAAAAGAAATATGAAGAAAAGGTGAATAAAGAGATAGATTTTGAAATGAAAGAAAGAATCAAGAATATGAATAGAATGGAGAAGATGTAAGATAGGAAATGGAAGATAATCATTCGGAATAAAAAGAAAGAATCAAATTGATAATAAAACAAAAAGAAAAAAGAAACAAAGGAAAAAAGAATCAGAATCAGAATGAGAAAAGAAATATGAATGTGGAGAGTGAATGAGTGAATATTCACCTAGACAAATACCTCTGAGAATATGAATACTTAAGTGAAAGAGAATTGGAGATTTATCATGAAGAGAAAAGAGCTTACAAATACAAGGAGATAATAAGATGATAACTTGTCTTTTTCTTTTCTCATTTTCGTTTTATCATATTTGCTACTTTCGAATCACATATTTAAACAGAATCGAAAATATTAATATGAAGGTTTCAAATTCTCTAATTTATTTTCGTTCCATAAGAGAAAAAAACGATGAAAATATTTTCGATGCATCGAAAATTGAATATAAAGGGAATAAATTGTGGAGAAACATTGATGTATTACTATTAGTTGTTGTTGACTGGAAATCGAAAACATGATTTATTTAGTTACTAAAAGATCAATGAGATAATATTATTTTTATTGTAAGTGTCAAGGAGATGATAAAATGATTAGAAGATGAGGAAATGATATCTATTATTTGGATGGATAATAATATAAGAAGCATGATAATCATGAAGATAAACAGAGGCATAGTGAAGAAAGGTAGACAAGGTAAAGGAAAATGATGAACAAATGAAAAAGAAAAACTGATTTTCTCATCTTCATCTTCATCTTATCTTCCATATTCATCTTTTCCTCTCTCTCTTTGGGATATAATAATGCTGGTAAAAGAAAGTTCAATTCTCTATCCTCAAGTAGCTCTTTTCATTTTCCTCAAGATCTTGGATGATATTTGTAAACGTTTCCATTTACTCTTCGTTGACATGAACGAAATTTTCGAGCTGCGGAAATCGTTCTCAATGTCAACTTTACTTGTTCTTCGTTCTTTTCATGTTTCCACCTCTCACCTTTCTAATCAACACCTTCAAGGTACATCTCCATCTGATTCCATGGGTGATGTTTTCTTTTCATGTGGAAGTGAAAAGTTCAATGAATAAATAATATAACTTATTTTTCATTCGTTTACATATGAAAAAAACTTTTATCTTCTTATCATCTCTTTTACTTACTTTGATTTCTTATTAATTTTCTCGTCTTGAAATCTTACGATCTAAATATGTTACTCTTTTATCTTTCTATCATTTATAATCCGATGGATTAAAGTTTCTACTTAATTTTCTTTATCTACTCATGTGAAAGAAAACATTCAGTTTTGTTTCTCTTTTTTTCCTTCTTACATGAGTTCCATTCACCTTTTTCTTTACCATGAAATAATCATCATTGTGTGTATAAAATTTAACTTATTCCATCTAATACTTAATTTTATCTTCTTTTTTTTTCTTCCAGCATCGTTCAAGTATATTGAATAAATGGATATTCCAAAAGCTCACATGCCCTGTTGCTTCAACTCTCTAATCAACTCACTCAGATCTCCATCTATCATCTTTCTCCATCCCTACTCGCTCATCTCCAGCATCCTCAGCTCTCCCCTTCTCTCTCTCTCTGCTCACTTACCTCAAATTCTCATACTAAAGTCCTCGCTTTTTCGAATGCTCGAGACGAACTTTTTTATCAGTATCATCATCATTATCTCTCTCTCTCTCTCCCAAATACTTTTATAAGTTGTTATCCATTCCAGAAAATGTTCAAGGTATTGTTACCTTCACCATTGGTAAAAAAAGAAAACTCGACAGCGAAAAGATTAAATTGAAAAGTGACAAAAAATATTCCATGTAAAATGTTTACACCTTCTGAAAATTTTCAATGGATCATTTGTTTCCACCATAGTATTTTTTTACTTCATTCAAAAAATATTCACCAAACTTTGATAATATTTTTTGCTCATTAATCATTTCAACTAATCAACAGTATCAAAAAAAAAAGACAATCAATTGATAATAGATTAGTAAACAACATCACAGGATTTACAATTTGTGATCAATTTAATGTTAATTAGTGTTCACTTGTAATCCAACATATTCCAATTAATGTGATTCTGTTAATTAGTTTTTTTTCTCGTCCTTTAATTATCATTACTAATCTCTCATCATCATGGTATCACAATTACTTGACTACAATGACACTAAATTGAACTATGGATTAACATTATCATCACCCATTGGGATTTTATCAACATCATCTCTCCTCATCTCAGAATCAACACCATCCATGGTAATAATTAATTCAAATGAAACTGAAACGTCAACCATGAGCAACATTTCGGTGGGCCAAGCAGCCGAAATAGTAAATGACCATAACCCTCTTATTTACGCTTACTATTTACTCTTTGGTATTGGTTCTTGTGGTAATTTTTACGCTTTAAAAGATTTGGTTAAGGCTCGACAATTAAGTCAATACATTAATCTTCTCATGGCACATTTAACTTTTGCCGATCTTTGTGTAATATTCATATCACTTCCCATTGAGATTATGTGGCAAATAACCTACACCTGGGAAGCGGGTGATCTTACCTGTCGATTGATCCAAGTTATCAGACTTTTCGGTCTTTATCTTTCATCAAATATTGTCGTTTGCATTTCGATTGACCGTTTACACGCTTTCACCCGAACTCCAAATAAAACTGGCTACTATAAATACTCAAAGAAAATATTGATCTCTGCTTATATAATATCCCTACTATTAAGTACACCTCAGGTAAGAAAGATATTAATAGTAATACAATCATAATATTTTCACCTTTCAATTGACAATTCAAAAAGCATCTTCACCAAAATTCAATCATCATCTAACAATCAACTTCTCCCTAACTCTGAACATCGTTAGTTCAATTCCATAATAACTGACAACTCTAATTTACCAAAGAAAACAGGAAATATAAAATATGGAATTGAACATTTCCTCCTACTTTTCCTACTTCCATCCTCTGACTAGATCTCTCCTTAATTGCTGCAAGGCAATTACTCTGCCATTGAATGAGGTTATTGCTGAATTTTTCCCCATGACCCTGACTGTTAACAACGATAATGATATTTGAGAAAAAATTGTTTTCGTCTTCTCATCACCAAAATTTACTTATAACTCGATTGAACTGAACAATTGGAACTTATCACTCCCAAGTATGTGAAAATATGATTATCATGATCAAGTTTCAAATTAATAGTCGTTTTTTTTTATACCAACCTTTCAGTCACATCAAGAGATTTCATCTTGAGTTGATGAAGAAGCAAAAGAAAATTTAATTTAAATTACATTACATTCAGACAGAATTGATCAACTATAATAAAGGAAAATGAGACATTTAATTTATTCAACAGTCATGAAAATTAAATCAGCATCAATCAAAATCTAATCAACATAATGATCATCAAACTCTCAACTTATTGCCATGCAACTTGTTCACAACATTGTACTAATTCATTGAGTATCTTATTATCATTGATAATCAGATGAATTAATCAATTCAGCAATGTTATTATCTGTTATGATAATTGAACAGTTTCATGATCTTGGTTACGATTTCCAATAAGAGTAAATTGTTCACCATCAATTATAATAATATCTGAATTGATTCATGTTTTTTTTCACAGGTTAAATTGTGAATTTCGAGAATGAATTTTGTCAATAATTAATTAACTGTTTCTGTTGTAATTTGATTAATTACAGGCAATCATTTATCGAGTTGAAACCCATCCACTGGTCCCAGGGTATGCTCAGTGTATTCAGGCTGCTTGGTTCGTAGATACGATTTTCGAAAAGTTTTACACTGGAATGAGTTTAATTGGAATGTATTTTGGTCCCTTAATTGCGATTGTCTTTTGCTATTGTAAAATCTTTTTTCACCTTCATTATGATGGTCAAAGTATTCAAATATCAGGTAAGAATTGCTGGAGAAAAGGTCAAAGTTGAAGATTTATTTCTGGTCAAAGTCTACTAATTATTGACCAATTAGTTGGGAAAAGAGATTAATTATCGAGGTCAATCAATTTGTTTCAATCAAGAATATTACAATTTAACTTATTGGAAAATTATCCTAATAATCAATTGTTTTATTTTTCTATTATTTGGAAAAATATAATATCCATAGAGTCTTCATGTGCCTTTCAATTTAAAGCCATTGCTCCAAGAGATAATCGTGATATCCGTTTGGTTCAAGCTCGACACCAGGTTAATCGTTTCTCGCTAATCCAAAAGGCCAAATATCGTACGCTTAAAATGACACTTATCATTGTACTTGCTTATCTAATCTGTTGGTCACCTTATGTTGCCCTTGTTTTATATTCATCTTATGATTATGATGCAGCTCAAGGTATTGATCCAGCCATTCATGAAGGGATTATACTTTTCGCCGCTTCTCATAGCTGCGTTAATCCATTTGTTTACCGAATTAATCTTGTAAGACGTTTTCCCGCCAGTTAAAGTTTTCAAAAAATTCACCAATATTTCAATAAAAAATGTTCTACGTTGATTCAATCAAATTTTACAATAGAATTTATATTTTAATATTGACCGCCTTAGGCTCTTCTATTTATATAAATCATAGCGAAATAAACTCTCGCCTCTTAGAAAATTACACCTAAGCTTCATGAAAAAATCTCATGAAAATACTAAAGTATATGAGCTTTTTGACAAAAATTTTTTTGTCAACTTTTCAGTTGTAAATTGCGCTTTTTCAAAAGTAATTCAATTGTTAGTAAATTCGGTTCTCCAAGTATCTTAGATGGCGACACTTTTTTGATAACAAGATAAAAGTTCTTGGTTCCCAAACCCAAATTGGAATGAGATTTATTACATTAAAGGATTAAAGTTATCAAAAAATAGTATTAAAGCTGATTAAGTATTAATACAATTTCGAAACACTTTTGGTATTATTTAAATTTCGCGCTTTTATGTTCAACTTTTTTTTCCTTTAGAAATTGTTTCAAATTTGAAGAATAAAGTTTTCGATTTCTATTTTCTTTTGAAAGTTCGAGTCTGAGGTTAACCATCTTTTAAATGTTTCCAATCTCGATTCATCCAGATTTCTCTTTCTTTTTAGTGAATATACATTTCTAAAATCGGTTATCCAATTCTCATGATCGTGGTCAGTCTCCAGTGACCTTACAATAAAGATCAATTGCTTCGATGGGAGAAGCAGAAAGTTTACCTGGAGTTGGATGTTTTTATTTTCCTCATTTAAGTCTTGAATTTTCTTCAATATCATGATCATTAGGTTGTAATGTTCTTTGATAAGATGACATTGATCCATAATCATCTTCGATTTCAGTACCTTTGGGCTAACATTCGGTCAGATTCTTACAAATGTATTCGACCTCTAGATCTTATCCTGTACAGTTGAAATTTCAATTGGATTGGAGGTGAAGTTGCAATAAACCACTTTACACTTTGATCGCTGGTCAATAAATTCACTCGTATGAATATCTAATAGATGGTGATACCTGTTACAGTGAATGTGAATAACTTTCTATCAAATTACATATTAATAATTCGCGCAGGTCATAGTAGATAACCTTTGGTATCTAATAGCTTTTCCCAATATCGAAAGACCAAAATTTCATCTTTGGGTTAACTTGATCTCTCATTGATGAAATGATTAACCAAAAGTTTATCCTCAAATTTACACTCGAAAATTACGATTCTCATGATTCAAATATTAAGAATGACTTTCGATATAATCCTGATAATACAATTATAAAAGAGCTTGAATTCTCATATTTATCTCTAGCATTTAATTTCTCTCTCACATTCAATTATTCATACATGTATTATTTATTTATATTACAACCAATTCTGATTAGGAAAATGTGTTGATAATAATTAAATTAAAGACACAATTTTAATATCGAAATAGCTAAAGCATGAAAGCTTTTGTTGTTAATTGTTGTGCTTTTGGTTTGTGATCAACTAAATTGTTGACGATACACTTGATTTAAAATCATCATCTATCATCAATTATTTAATAAATATAATACAAGTAATAATAATAATAATCATAATAATTGTAATAATAATAATAATAATCATAATCATAATAATCATAATAATAATAACAATTAAGATAATAATTATAAAGATAATAATCATAATAGTAACAATTAATTAGTTAGTTGTATTACTCAGTTGTTATCGTCTCATTGTTTGTATTAATAGTTTGTTAGTTTGATTTTTTTTGATATAATCTGGTCACAATTAACTGTTAACAATTAACACAATGAGGATAAACACTTTCGTTGGTAGCATTTAATTATCGTCCATTTCCAATCCTGAATATATTTCCTCCCTTGTTGGAATCCTTGTCATCCTCTTGTCCTCCCTGTAAACTGACCAAATGATAATCAAATTGACCAGAATTAACTAGTTGGTTAGAATTGGTTTTGATGGGGAAAAAACTTAACCAGATTATTCAACATTTCAATATCTTTCTTTTGTCAGGTTAATTGTTAATTATTATTATCTTGAGGTTTTTAGTAAAAAAAAAACAAAATCAATTATCTCATAGTTTTTATCATTTCCTTTTCCGCCTTTGGATGATGATGATTTTGTTGTTGATTGGTTTTCTTTGTTGTTGTTGTTTTTGTTGTTGATGTTGATGTTGTTGATTTAATTGTAATAACTAATTGGATTTATTATTATTTGATGATAATTTACAAGGATTTGTTAAAATTTGTTTTCTTTTTTGCAGTCGAACAATTGTTTTCTCTTAATAATTTCCTGTAATCGAATTATTTGATTTTTGTTTAAATCTCTTCCTTTTTTTTTCTTCAGGAGAAATTGTCTTCTCTCTTTACCTCACTATAGATGAATATGGATGAAGATGGTGATGATGATGATGATGGTTGGATGTGGAAAGGTAAAGTGATAGTGATAATGATCATTGTGTTGTTATGAGGTGGGAAGATGTTGATGGTAAAAGATGAAAGATTTTTAATTGCGATGAGTTTGATGAGGTGATGATGATGATGATTATATTATTCAAATGCTAGAATTTAGTTCTGGATATAAATTATGAATATTATCGTTCGTTAATGAGGTTAAGTTCTTTCAGGTGCGTCAAATTCCTGTTAGATCACATATACAGAGAGAGTTGATTAGAGTCGAATAAGAAAAAGAGAGAAAAAAAGAGAAAAAAAAGAGAAATTATTAAGTGAGAGTTAAATTTTTTTCCAAGAATAAGCAAAGAATTGAGAGTCAGCATTTAAGGGGAAAATTGGGCTCGATGGAAAGGAAAGCGAAAGGAAAGAAAAGAGGTAAAGAGAGAGAGAGAGAGAGAGAGAGAGAGAAGGTGAGAAGAGGGAAAGTGGACATTGGTCAGTAGATGGTTGGGTATATTGGAAGGTATGTGAATATAAAACAGAAGAATAAGAAGAAATGCTGAGGCGTGTCAAGTATTTTTGATGTTTTGTGTGTGAAGAGTGTTGAAAGTGTGCGAAAAAAAGACAGAGGGAAGAGAGAGAGAGAGAGAGAGTAAAATAAAAAGAAAGAAAGAGAGAGAGATTGTAGCAGTTGATGTCGGTGTGGGATCGCCCCATCATCATTTACCCCAAAAGCCATTTGGAGGCATACGTTTACTCGAATGACTCATAGTTCCCTGAGCACCAGTAGCATTTCCACCGGAGAAATGATGATGTCCGGTCACGTGACAAGCTGTTGGATGGCAGGAGTGCCAAGAGGTAGATGGTGGTGCACCCACACTGGCAACACTGCCCATCTCAGCATCGCTTCCTGTATTACCTTCTTCTTGCATTTTCATCTGGTTGGCATAAAATTCCCATAGACGGGAAACTATTAGGGTGGCCATTATGGACCCATGGTTATGTTCAATGAGACGGAGTACAAAAACACCATCCCAGCCTAAATATTGTGCAGATATTTTCCGTGCCAACCGGCCAACCTCAGCCATAGAGACTAAACGGGTTCGCCAGAGACACAGACGTATATAAGCTAACCTGTTACACCGGAAGCTCCGCCATACCCAGAAAAGTAGGCTTAATACATTAAGGGGTAACAGGAAAGCCATGTAAAACCACACAACGGAAAAAATTTTCTCATTGAAAACATTTATTGGCAGTACACATTGGCAGGTATAGGTTCGAAGTCCACCCTGAATGGCGGCACGAACTTGGCACAAGGTTTGCAAAGGGAACCTCGGTGAGGCCCACCATTCACCTTCAACCATCAGTCGGCGGATAAGTTCCAGGCCATGGCGAAGGAAACCTCGACCCATAAATGAGCCGAGTAACAAGAATTGAAGTCCAACGTTAATAACGTAAAGACTTTTAACCAGTAAATAAAGTAGGCACAAATACCGGCTGGGTCCTCCGGAGCAACATCGACAGGAGAGAGGAAGCCGACAAGAGGGATCGGTACACCAACCCGCTTCCCCTGTAACAAGAGTATGAAATTGATCAACAAATTCAGCTAAAAGGGCTTCTCTTTGTTGACACCCCGGCGGAAGGGAGGCAATGTCAGATGCTTTTTTCAATAAACGCCGTAGTTTAACACCGGCATTGTGAGCACATGAATTATACACAAGGAAGGGCACATAGAAACAACATCCTTGGACTAATAATATTAACGGAGCCCATTGGTAATAGCCGACTCTCACTCTTCTCAGTCTCTCCGGTCCAGTTGAGGCCACATCGAAACCTCCATAATCTAATTCTTCTGGAAGAACTCGAGGATCAGGTGGATCCTAAACACACAGATGAACAATTAAAATAGATGATGATCACCAGAAGAAGAATAGATCAGAATAAGAGAGAGAGAGAGAAAAAGAAGAAAAAAAAGTTCTAATTAGATTATATCGAATATGTAACGAAAAAAAAACTTTTTCTTTCCAAAATCGATTCGATTTACTAAAACATTGATCGATCAACATAAACAAAAATTAGCACAATAAACAACGATACACATAAAGCAGCAGCTAAAATTAGTAGAGAGTGGAAACAATTTTTTAATTAGTTGATAATCTTGATGATAATTTATATTATATTCTAGTCAACCTTTGGTCAGTCTATGTGGTCAATGAAGATGACGATGACTTTGTACTCAGAACTGATTACAAAGGTATCAGGTTAACATACTAATAGATGAGAATCTGTAAAAAAGAAAGCATTTTTTTCTCGTTTCATCTTTTTCTCCTTCGAGAATTAGAGACCAGAAAGATAACAGATAATATCATTTTCCCAAACCATCAATAAGTTCAGGATAATATTCAGATGACCATTATCGTCAACATGAGATCCACAGACCATCAATTTCAGGGTGAAAGGAGATAGAGAGAGAGAAGTGAGAGAGCAAAAACAAAAACTCTTCAAGTTTATTCCTCATGAAAATATCTCTTCATGGTAATATTATCACTTAATCTTAATTGCAATGGAAAATCAGAGATAATTAGATTATTAATTTTCCATGGTAAAGGAAACAAATAACTATTACACTTGGAGTTTCGATGTTGATTACGTTCAAATCAAATTCTCTGACTAAGTGAATGTTTAAGTTAATTGTGATCGTACCTAATTCTGTATCTAATACATACCATTTCTTAACTGTTGGCCACTTTTTCCTTCTTAACTGTTCATATCTAATAATCTAATTATTATTAATATCGTTCTCATGAACCTTTAATTAACCAATTTGCAGAAATTATTCCGAAAACAAAGTGACTAAATTTGACAGAGAGAAAGAGACATTTACCTTCAAGCAAGAAAGGTAAAGTTATTATCTCATTTCTTATATAATATTATCATTCCCTGATTATCATGCAACTGATAAATTAGATAATTTAATTTTTCTCACTCTCATTTTAACGAATCTTAATCAGCCCCTTGGTTGCAGTTCTCTCAATTGCTCCCATTCTCAGTTCTCTCTCTCTCTTTCTCTCCTCCTCTTCCTCTCCCTGTTTCTGGTTCCTGTTCATCATTTTTGATTACCGAATTGAGTGTTTATAGCAATTTTGAGTAACACAAATAAATAGCAGAAAAAAAACAACATGGAAAAGGTTAAAATCAAAAATGCAAACTGAATTAACGGTAAATTAATGTTATGAATACAATTGAATAGAGAAATAAAAAAACAACAATGAGAATACAAAAATTATATTATAAGCAAAAGACCAAACAATTACAATTGAATGTTTGAACTATTTACCATGAACCATGAATTCATCATGAATGTTCATTGCTCATGTTCAGGATAAAAGATTCTGGTCGAAGTTTCAGATTGAATCGAATTTTTTTTTCTTCTCTTCTCATGTATAATACAAATATCTCTCTTTCTCTCTCTCTCTCTCTCTCTCTTTCTCTTTTCTTTCTTTCTCTTTCTCTTTCTCTATATTTATACATGTATAAATATCTTTGTATCTATTTGATTATAAGCTTTGGAATTTGATTAAATCATTTTACTGGTTAAATGATTGTAGATTATTAATTGTAATCGTTTGGTTTAGTTACGGATGCAATTTAAGTTATCGATTGAAATATTGAGAGCAATTTGTTTGATTGGAGCAAAACAATAAATGAAATAAACAGAAAATGGAACAGGTAATTTGAATCAATTAGCAGGGAGAACATTGAAATTAATTATCTATTTGTATTTGATTTTTTCGGCCAATAATTGAGACATTACCTGATTCTTTCCAACTTGACCAACTATATCATAATCCTCATCATCTGCATCCGCGGCCACAAGATAATATGTGGACGCTGTCCAGCAATAGGAGTTTACGTAGCGAGCCTGAGGCTCTGTGAAATAAGTCGGTGTGAAACATTCAATCGGATCACCGATATATTGTTTGGTGAAAATGGGCAGAGCCAGAAAGAGGAAGACCAGTAAGGTGTATTTCCGGTTTAACTTGTCCACTCCATCGTCTACTGGCACATGGATTCCACCGATCAGATCATGAAACCTAAAGGGATTTTGTTTTGTTTGAATTTAGGAAAGTTTTTCGTTTTCAGGGTTAAAGGTAATGGACGATAAAGGGAGATAAAGGTCAAGATATAAGGGATTCGGGTCGGGAAAATGGAAAGGATATCGTGTGTATATAAATGTTGTTTCAAGTCATTTTTGTCACCAAATTGTTATAATTATTTAACGTTAATCAATTAATAATAATAATAATAGGATAATAATAAGATAATAGGTTTTAACAAAGGAGTGGAAATTAAATTTTCAACGAAATGTAATGAAAACAATAAAATAAAATAATAAACAGAGGAAAATTAAGAAGATGCAATAAGATAATGATAAGTGTCAGGGTGAGGGAGTGGCAACGATGATATTGGCGGTGGGCAGGTTGGTGGTGGTGGTGGTGATGATGATGATGATGATGGTGGTGGTGGCGGAGGAATGGAGTGTAAAAAGTGTGGTGTTCAATTGTTAGCGTTGATTTTGATGTTCACACATAGATGAGAATTGGTTAGAGGATTGAAAATATAAATTGAATGAAATGATAAGCATAACGAGAGGGATTGAAGAGAGCGGGATAGTAACAGCGGTGGCAGTAGCAGTGGCATTAGCGGTGGTGACATAAATTTGGTAATGGTAACACATGAATTTACAGCAACAATTAAACAACAATGAGAGTGATTTAGAAAAAACATTGAGAGGGGATTTGATGATTGTGATTCGAGGCGGAGGAGATGAGAGTTAAGGGTTAAACAGAATGTGAGGAATTGGATTTGTTGAGATTTTGGATAATGAATAAGGTGAAGGTGTTGAGATTTAGCAGCGAAAGTGTTGATTAGCGGCAGCGGAAAAGTGAGAAATTAAGATCGACCGAGTCCGGATTTTTACATGAGTTCGGTCCCCGTCCAAAAGGTAAATAAGAGGAATAATAATGAACAAATAAACGAATTATGAGAGAAGAAACTTTTCGATTACATACTTTACTAACCGGAAGAGAAAGGACATTGCAGAGGACTCGTGGTTCACGCGATGATGAATCTTCGTTGATGTTGGTGTGGGGTGGAGATGTTATCAAATATACATTATGATGATAGAGATGAATTATGATGATGATGATGATGATATTCTCGATTTTTGTAATAATATTATTATTTTTTTGTTTCAAAGAGAAATAGTAAAAAAGAATAAAGAAAAAGAATAGAGAGAAAGAGAAAGAGAAGAAAAATAATGTGTAGATATCACATTAGAAACAGCGAAGTAACTACCACACATTAATAGAGTAAGAAAGGAAGAGAGAAGAAAGAAAGAGAAAATGTTAAGAGAGAAAGAGAAGAAAAAAGAAAGAGGTAGAAAAAAAGAAAGAGAAAAGTAAGAGATGAAAGAGAATTGAATATAATCACAAACACTGTTCACTATGATGAGAGATACAAAGGTAACAATAATAATCGCCTTTAACAGGTAAATCCATTTTCTTATGGGCTGATTTTTGGTATATTTTTGGTGTTTTTTCCGTCGAACAAAAAAGCAAAATTATATATATAATGAAAGAGAAAAATATTCCAATTGATTGTGTGTGTTTTAAGAAGAAGACGATATTGAGGAAGAAGAGGAAAAGAAGAGGAAAATTCGAAGATTTTTTTTTCTATCCAACTCAAACTCACACAGACTCAAATCATTTCCACCAAAATCTTTCACATCACCATCATTATATCTCTCCACTCCACTCCTCTCTTTCTCCATCCCATACTCACTCCCAGCCTTTTCCATCCCTCTCTCTCTCTCTCTCTCTCTCTCTCTCTCTCTCTCTCTCTCTTAACTCATACTCTCTTGACGTCAGTGGTTACGTTTCAACTAAAAGAAAAGTGAAGATGAAAAACCCAGATCTAGGTCATCTTAAGATAACCTTATTTGACCTTCATTAGTTTTTATGGATAAAAACCTTTGGGCTCTCATTTTGTTATCAACCTTTATCCAGAAAATAGAGAGAGAGAGAAATGAAGACGAAGAAGATAATGCAAGAGAGAAAAAGTTTGATACAACTTTCTTTTCCATGGGTTATCCTTATTATTATTGTGTTAACAAACGTGAGCTCAATTTTTGTACATTACGATCATTCCCTCATCATTATCACTGTTATCCTCATCTCCATCATCATCATCATCATTATTAAAATCAAACATTTAATGAAACTTTTACTCCATCAAGGAAATTGAAAGTTGACCATCATCGTGAAACTAATTAATAATAATATTCATGGTTATCAAATGGGTCGAAAAGTTGAAGTTTTCCAATTCTCATTGGAGTCCAGTGTCAATCACTGGAACTTTAACTCATTGAATCAAAGACTAGATCATTTTCCAACCTCCCAATTGAATTTTCCAGGTAATAATTTGCTAATCAGGTGAGTGACTTTTTAATGGAAGGTAAAGAAAATATTTCATTAAAAGTTAAAATACTCGAGAATCACATTCACAATTGGCTGCGCAGATTCATTCCAATCGATGATCATCAGCAGAAAAAAACGAAACTAAAATCAAATTCAATCTTTATTGAAATAGAGAAACACCAGAGGCGCTGAATACATAATCTATCATGAAAAAGAATTGAGGTGAAAAATTAACCTAATCAAGAGAGAGAGAGAGAGAGATAACAAAAAAATTAATTCATTTGTTTCTCTCCGTGAAAGAAAAAAAAATGATCATGTTCTCGGTGTTCACCTTAAAACCTCATGAAAAAAGTATAACTTTCACTTTTCTTTCCTCAACTGATTATTGAAACTTCACCAAACTCATGGAGGAAAAAATGATTTTCATGATAAAACTTATCCAATCCTTCAAACTTGATGCATCTAATAAGTGTGTGCAAGTAACTGAGTTGATTTAGTTATTGATTAATAAAATGATTACTTGGAACTGGCAACTAACTCTGAACACGTAATATTAACCGGAACCAATTAACTAACCAACTAGGAAGTGGAAACTTAAAATTTTTCCTAATAACAAGTTGAAACATTCAACTCAGAATATAATTCAGTACACTGATGGTGTTACTTTGTTTTTAATCACTTGAATTGATTACATTGTTTGCCGAAGCAATTAAACTTATTGTTTTCCAAGCTCTCAAGTTTTCCAACTTTTTTGCAACAGAAATCATAAGTTTCAATATTATCATTGAATTAGATTATGATTCCTTAATCTTTGGATTTTCAGTTTATAATAATTGGCTTGAGAGAGAGATTATTGTATTATTACATATATTGAACTTTTCTATGGTGAATTCTGATTTGGGATATTAATAGTTTTCCAGAAATGGGAAATGAATATAATGTTCATGATGAGCATGATTATTATAATGATGATGATGATGACAATCTTGAATGATATTAACAATCTGAAATGATAAAGGATAAATCAAAGGACTTATGAGTCATGATTAACAATTGGGTGGGATTGGGATTGTTCATATTCACAATCTAATCAGAATCAACTGATTATATAATTGAGCTTTTCACTTAGATATGGATTAGAAACACTGAAAAGCAAGAAAGTGAAATGAGAAGGGAAAAGTTCTGGACTGAAAGATGGACAACAACAATAAGAATGAGATGGAGAGAAAAGAGGATGAAGATAATAGAAAAGTTTTTTTTCCATCCCTTTGGCTCGAGAAAAATATAATAATAATAACAGGGGAAGTTTCTATTTGCTTTGTATTGAAATCGTTTCGAAAAATCCAAAATTCGAATCCTTATTTCAACGGCAACTAGTCCATCATTCAACTGCCAGTAAATGACCACTGGTGAGTGGGTGAGAGACGATGAGGGAGACTAGATCAATAGACTGAACCATGTTTCTATTATTTTATAGAGAGAGAGAGAGAGAGAGAGAGAGAGAGAGATAAAGATGAGGGAAAAAAAGAAAGAGTAAAAAAAGATGAGATAAAAACTCATCACTGGATTACAATAGTTTCCAATATAAATCTACCTTTCGGTTTATATACCTGGTTGTTCATTGTTGTTGTTCCTTTAATTGCTTCGTTGATCTTTTAGATTTTGTTATTATTTCATCATTTTCCTTATCATCATTATCACCATTACAACAAAACTATTGAACCAAAAAAAGAACCAAAGTTTACGATATATACACTAAAAGTAACTGAATAATACACTTACCTGAGTTTCTTTTATCAAGGTAATTCCTGTATATTTGTGTGTGTGTGTATTTATCAGTTTATCCGTTTCAATTTGGGATTGAGCTTTTTTCATGATGATAATACACTGAGATGAAATGAATAGAACTTTTTTCGATTTTTTTTTCTCTCTCTCTCTCTTTCTCTCTGACTCTGACTTTGATCCTTTTAGTACACAAATGGTACTCACTAAATTAGATGAAGATAATAATGATATAATATTGACAGATATTCGAAACAATAACAAACAATGAGAATAATCATCAATACTCATCATTGTTCCCGTCCAACTTGATAGAACTTTTTTTTCACTTTTTTTTCATATATATTTATTTCTATTATATTTCTCTTCTTCATTCATCTGATCATGTTTACCTATTTAACTATATTCTAGATGATAAACATGCTAAATACTGATTAAAGATAAGTTTCAATTGGAATCCATTAAAATGATTTCGATACTTTTTCAAGAGAGAGGAGGGCGAAAATCTTACAATTTCAACTTTGCCATTTCTTGAATTCTGTCTATCATTTATCGATACAATTTATTAGCAATAACACGATCTTGATGATGATTATTATGATGATTACCATAGATTTCAATAAAAAAGAATAGAACAAAATGAGGAGAGAGAGAGAGAATTTCCAAACTTTGAATTCGAATGGAAAAAAAAAGTTCTAACTCCTTCAATCCAATATACTAACAAACAGTTGATTATTAAAGTGAATCTGTTTCCCAGACCTGAGAATCAATTTAATTCAGATAAATTTTCACTGATTCTGATAGTGAAATGTATTGATAAAGAAAAATATCACAATCAAATTCTGTGTTTACTCAAAGTCTATTAAATCAAATGAATACAAGGAAGAAGAAGAAAAAAATAAAAATAAACAAAACTTGATGTTCACATTCTGAGCAATCAATGTAATCACAATCATAATCATGATAATAAATTGAAAAGGATATTATTTTGATTCACTTGGAAAGTCAAGTAATAACAATAAAAACATAAATAATAATAATAATACTTAACATGAATTCGTATATACATACATATATATATGATATCCATGCATACCCACGGATTGTGGGGTATGCATATATTATTTAGAGTGAGAAAAATGCAATTGTATTAATTGAGCAAAGAATGTAAATAACAAACAAACAATAATAAATGAAGAGAAACAGCAAGAAAAAACAAAGATATAAATTACAATTATGTTAATTGTTCTCAGAGAAAAGAATAATAATTTCTCTCTCTCTCTCTCTTACCACTATAACGGTAATTTATTTGATATTAATTTTCTCCCTTTCTCCCTTATCATCTTCCCACTTTTCCATCACTAAATTGCATATAATTAGTATTATTATTACTCGAAAAAAGAGATAAAGTTGAGGGTAGAAAATTAATTCCTCATGCTCATGGTTGTTAATCTTTTAAAGTCAATATTTAATCTTGTTCATTTTCGATTTTCGTTTAAATTTCCCTTCCCCTTCATCACCAGAATTCTCACAACCACCAAGACCATCACAATCTATTCATGATAATATTATTCATAAACCATCCGATTTCCATGAAAAGGTGAATATGTGATATTCAAATTCTTTCATCAAGTGAGTTTTAAACTCTTCTAAAACATCATATGTTTCATCCTGAGATGTTCAGCTGAATTCTTATCAATATCAAATTAGATAATTGGAATAACCATTTACCTTTTTAAATGTTCTAAGAAAATTCTGACTCCATGGAACAGAGTTTTTTTCCCTCTTTCTATCTAATCATCGTTCTTAGGTTGTGGTGTTTATAATTTACTCATGATGATGAAAAAAAGAGTATAATCATGATAGTTGAATTTTGGCTCCTTCGTTATCATGAAAACTTTTTTTCGCCTCCTCTTTTTCCTTGTATACAATGTAATTGTCATAGAAATCAAATGCTGATATTCAAACCTTTTTTTTGTCTGTTCATTGTACTCTTTGTATGTCTCTGTGTATGTGTGTATGTTGTTATTATCTGGAAGGTTTTTTTTTCACTTCTTCTGTTTCCGGTACAATAATTTGCAAGGTAATGAGTATCATGGATGGTAGTTGATGATGATGGGTATGAAATTGTAACAATCACCCTGATGATGATAATAACATCATATCCTTATCAGTGTATGAATCATAATGGGTACATATACTTGTCTATGTTGTTATATTCCAATGGTATTGTTGTTATATATTTTTACTCAAAGTATATGTTACCATTATCATGGTAACATCAAGAACTGAAGATAACTGTCATGGAGAGAGAGAGAGAGAGAGAGAAGATATTCATGAAGAAGAAGAAGAAAAACTTCAACTGAAGAAAAGAAGGAAAAAAAAGATTCTTCTTCTTTTTCTTTAACATAAGTGTCTTAAACAGCTGATTACTTTTGGAACTTTTTTTTAATTTATCTTCAATTCTTTGTCACACTTTTTTCTCTAGGTGATAAACATCATATGTCAAATGATGATGAAGATGAAAAGTTGATATTTCCTTTGTTTTTATCTCTTTCTTTTACACATATATACTCTCTCTCTCTGCTCTCTGTCTTCCAAAGATGAGAATCATCATCATCTCGAGTATCATAATGAGACAATAGACTTGGATGATTATTCATTTGAATAAAGTGACCATTAGATTGTTGACCATTCGCATTATACTTAAGATGTAATCACCTGTGTAGATAATAAGTTTATCGATGGAGATCAAATGAGCTTTAATTAAAGGTCAACATTTTGATTGGCTGACCATCGGTCAACTGATGGTAAAGACTTGGAGTTACATTTGGATTGGGTTTTCTTTTTTGTATTATTCAATTATCAAACTTGAATTGAATTCAAAGTATTAGAAAAAATTTCCTATTCTACCAAAAAAATATGTAATCTGCAAACTCGATGATGATGATGAGGATGAGGATGAAGATGATGGTGAAAGAACTAAATTGAGATGGAAAAAAATAGAAAGCATTGAGAATGATGTTGTCGTTAGAAAAGCATACTGATGATGATGAGAATCGTGAAGATGTTGGAAGATGAAGATGATAATCTAGATGATGGAAAATGATACTGATCATCATCATGAGAGATGAACATGAAGAATGCTGAATTTTTTTGTTCCTCTTTAAATGTCAACCCGATTTCAATGAGAATCTTTTATGATATAAGAATAAGATCAGAGATTTTTCTCTTCTTTATTTTTTCTTCTATTTTCCTCTTTCTCTCACTCACTCACTCAGTCTCTCTCTCTTTTCCTCTTCTTTCGATGATATTACCAGAAGATGAAGCATGATGATGTTGATGATAAAAAATATCATGACAATGACATGAGAAATTATTATTGCAATAATAAACTTATCATCTTATAGGAACTTCTCAGTTATCTTCTCCTTTTTTACTTCAAGTTTCACCATTGAATCACTAATATCATCTAATAAATTACTTGTCAATTGATTATCATGATAATTGCATCATTAGACCACTTTACCTTTACATTTGTAATTCTCAGCTGACTTTAAGATTGTTATCATCAGGATAACAATCAGAGATTATCTTGAAAAGATCAAGAAGGAAACAAATGATTCTTCATGGTGATGAGTACCCTGAGTGTTTGCATATCATTTACACCGAGAGAGAGAGAGAGAGGGAAGAAGTTGAAGGTGGAAAAGAAAAAGAGAGAAAAAATTATTATATTCTCTTTATTTTTATTCTTCTTCCTTTTTCTCATCTTGATTTTCATGTTCGCCATTATTGATTCCTAAGTTTTTTTTTCGTTCTCGAATCACAATTATTATCATCGAATTGATTCTCAATTCTAATGGAATAAAATCAGAAACTTTTTTTTCTCTCTCGATAAATGAAGAGAAAATGCTCTTCTCTCTATATATCAATGTTTTTCTTCATCTTCATCTTCCATTTGAAAGATATTTAAGTATTATCATAATCATCATTTCGAGTTTCTTTGTACATCCTTATATATATATGAAGAGAAAAAAAGTTCTGAATAGAAAATCAGAGAAGAGAATAGGAAGAGAGAAAGAGAAAAGAAACTAGAACTTTAGAAAGAAAATGAGTATGAGTATATTTTGTGAACGTATTCTCATCATAATCATCTTCATGATGATCATCAGATGATCAGATGAAACTGAGAAAAGATGATAAGATGATATTACTCATGGAAAATGATGAAAATAATATTTTAAAGGGAGAGAAAAAAACTTGAAAATTCACATTCAGATTCATTGTCTTTCTATTTCATTCCCTTTATATTTTTCACACCCAGTTACCTTTATGTCCTCTTCAATGATTTCATACCCACCATCACCTTCATCTTAAATATATTTCCAAATACATACAGGTCGGTACATAAAACATTTGAACGTTTTTGACGCTTAATTGAGATTAGTTGGACAATTAATTTTAAAAATTTTTGATTAACTTAGAGCATAATCATTCAAATTTTAATAAACTTTTAATTAAATTTTTATAAAATTTAAATTAAATTTTTTTCAAAAACAGGTTTTGAAAAAAACACGTCTGGATTTTCTGGTAAAACGGACCAGAAAAATTACTGAATCACACAATTTCAGGCTAAAAAGTCTTCAAGATGCTTTAAAAAGATTTCAAAATTAGGAACAAAAAGTTATCAGGTTTTGAGAGAAAACAGAAAATCCATAAGGAATACATGTGATTTGAAAGATTTTAATTTCTGTTTTTCCCATAGACATAATGTTAATTTTGAAAAGTGAAAATCAATTTCACTAAAATCTTTCTAATTTCTAAAATTTTCTCAGAAATTTAATTAAAGTTATTAAAATTCATTGATTACTCTATTTCATCATTTTAAAATTAATTGTCTTCAATGATTTAACCATCAAACCTTCAAATAAATATACATATATATATATATATATTTCCTTCATGATATTTATAACACCAAGATGGCTGAAAATGAAGGTGGAAGAGGAAAATTGAATCACCAAAATTGAATGAGCATGAATGACTTTCTCTTCATGGTAAATAAAATTTTCATTTGATAATGATAATGATCCAGCTAATTCATCTTCATGTATATATATATCATGAGGATGATGATGATCACCATGGACAGAAAAAAGTGACGTAAGTATCACCATGTAAGTGAGAGAGAAAGGGAGAGAGAGAGATGAAAACTGTACTAATCAATTCAATTGATTAACGAAATTGATTAGCAAACTTGTTAAAAGGGTTAAACTTTATGCAAACACAATTTGGGAAAAATATTCCGCTTTCAACTTGAGACACTGAACTGAATCCCCAGGCTGAGTATTCATTGTATTCTCAGTTTGTTATCTGTAAGAAAGAAAAAAGTAAGAGGGTATTCTTATCATCTTGCTCATCTTTATCACTCTATTATTGTTATTTAAAGGTGAGAGAGATTATTAAGATAACAGGGTGATAAAAGGGGGGTGAACAGGGTGAGAAAAGATGAAAAAAAAGTTCTTTCTCTCTTAAGATTATCTTCTGTTATCTTAACCTCAATTTTATGAAACACTCGCATGGGTATTTTCAGCCTGGAGCATTTATCATCACACTAATATATTTATCCATTGAAATTCATCACATTATCATTGGGGACGATATTTAAACCCACCTTCCACCCTACACACATACCCTGAATGTCTATACAATCATCCGACAGAAAATACTGAATACTGAATACAGAATTTTCTTTCTTTCTTTACCAATACGATTTGGAATAAATAATGATAAGAACAAAATAATAGTAGTAATATGATAAATATACTGCAACACCCTCACCACCACCACCGCCATCACCATAACTGAGGTAAACTATCAGCCTGATATGATGGAAGGTGGAGAAGAAAAAATATTCTTTCTCCCCTCAGGTTAAGTTTCGAAAAGAACTTGAAAAAATAATAATAAATTATCGGTTAAATTGAGTAGAAAATTTTTTTTCTCTTCTTTTATGAATTGGAATCTTTTTTTTCTTCTTCTTATTTTTCTTACTTTCATCTTCTCAATTTCATCACCATGATAATTCACTGAATTCATTCTGGTATCATGATCTGTAAATACATTCAGATGATCATGAAGATATCAGTTCAGTGGGTGTTGAAATTGAAAGAGGGAGTGAGTGAGAGAGAGAGAGAATTGAAATACTTTTACCACCATAATGTTTAGTTGAATGAAAAGAAAAAAACAAATTCAATTGATTGAATCAGTTTGATGATCAGACGATTCTGATCATCATCATGATCATGGTGAAAAGTGGGTGGAGAGGTGATAAAGGTGAAAAAGGTAAGAGTGGGTTGGATAGAGTAGATGATGAGTAGAAAAAAAAAGAAAAGAAATTGAATAAATTATTATAATATTTTCATCTCTCAATAATTTAATTCTCTCTCATTAAGTTAATCATTCTCAAGGATAATTATCTCAATTAATTAAGTATCAAATATAATACTTTAATCAATGATAATTAATCCTCCAAGTTTCATCAACTAATATCAATTTCCAATAATAATAATGATAATCCTTAATTGCTGTTAATTGTTTCATGGTTAAAGTCAAACAATCAGTTGATTATATTTAATACTATGAAATTTAATCAATTGTTTCAATGTTTCAAATGAAATTACTCAATATCATTTTAATTTACTGGTTAATCTTCAATTGAAAAGTTAATTGTTACCTTACGGGACTGTATTGAAATTGTCAACAATCATTTTATAATTAGATTGTAATTAAATTGCAAATTGAAAAACTTAATTTTCCCAAATGTATTTACATAGTTGAAACAAAGATTGCAATTTAAACATTTACCCTTAGGGTAATGATAAGATATCAAGTCAATTGTTTTGCTTTTTTTGCTGTTGTTGCTCACAATTAAGTGTTAATTACTCTGATTGTTGCCTTAATCATTTAGTTAAATACATATAAATGTAATACAAGAGTTTAATATTATTGTTATACTTTTAAATTAAATTGATTGTCTTATTGAGGTTAATTGTTTTACATCATCATCATCACCAAAGTTAATTGAAAGCTTTATTTTTTTATGTATACATAAATTGTGACTTGAATTTATATCAATCAGATTGACTGATTAAATGATTTACAATAATTAACAATTGGATAGATTATAAATTGATTGAAACTTTTCATTCATCAAATATAATTTGATAGTTAGATTATTGATCTTTGACTTATTTGACTTTTGATTGTCTTATAATTGATTTTGTTGATTTGATTACACATTTAATTGTTGTCAATCAGTTTTTCTTTCAATTTACTTTGGGTTTTTCTAATTGTGACTTTTTTTTCTGAGACAATTAACTATGCCTGTTGATACCAATAAACGATACCAAATATTTTACTGTCCACCGGTGGTTTTACCACCTCAAGTACAACGTCCAGTACCTAGACAGCAATCATATAATCAAGAATTACAATCAGCTGTTTGCTCATCATCACATCGTCCACAGGTTAACCTACAATCATCACCATTGATACCAATTAAGTTAACAACATCACCTATTGAAGTTAAGATATCATCATCTTCTTCATCATCATCATCAGCATCTTCATCGGGATCATATAAAAGTTCAGATAAAACGATTAAAATTTCAATAACAAGGAAAAAATTGAAGGTGACTCGTGGTGGTGGTGGAAATGGTAACGGTGTTTCTAGTAGTAATAATGATCGAACTGACCATGTTGACCTGTTAACTTCGATACTCAAACCAGGAAAAGATTCTAATGGCTCGAATGGTTCAAATGGTTGCAATGGAAAAACGAAAGAGTTCGAATTCGAACTCAAGATGAACCGATAAACAAAACAGCTCGTACAGTTCAACCACCGTTACTTTCTTGTAATTCTGTTACAAGATTATCAACCTCAGTACCTCAAATTTTACCCAAAATTGAAATTTCACCTTCAACTTTGTCAATTTGTCCACCGGTTGATCGTAAATTGTCACCAATGTGCTGCTATTGTGAAAAATATTTCGAAAATTGTGAAATGTTAACTAGTCACATGTTATCCTTTCATTATGCCACAAAGATGAATGGTGTTTATACCTGTTCTAAATGTGAAACTGTTTACCGTCAACACGATGATTATATAATCCACTGTTTAAACATTCATAATATTTATCTTAATGAAACACCAACAGAAGATCCGTTTACATCAATTTACAAATTACCACGAAAGTGTAACATTTGTAACAATATTTTCAACACTTTTCCAGAGATTAAGGAGCATTTCCCAATCCACCAAGGGGAACCCACCACGTATAAATGTCGATTATGTAGGAAATACATTTGTAACCTTTCACATCTCAAGCAGCACCTTGAATCGATCCATTTTGTTGAATTTGAATGCTCACCACCGACTCTACTTACAAATTCACCATCTAATACACAACCACTTAGAATTTTATCTTCCACCTCACCACCTTCATCTACACCAACCAATGGATCTTCATGTTCAATATTCAAGGCCCACTGAGTATCTCATTTTAGAGTATAAAGCAAAACCAAAGGAAAGAAAACTCCAAGTCCTCCATGAGAAGTAAAAACTCACCATTGAAACTGTCCTGAAGAAAAATATCATACTACAAAAAAGATCAGGAAAAAAATTTCCACCAAGACAATTTAAAAATATTCTTGTTTCCTTTTCCTCTTTCATCTTTTTCCCTTTTGATTTATACCATGAAAACCAAATTTGAACCGAAAAACAAACAACCAGATAAAACATTATTTATTTATCCTCTGATAATACAATTCAATGTGCAAAGAAAAACAAAGGAATCACCACCACCACCACCACTGCCTACAAATCTCCCACCCCACTGCCAATAACAAAAAGCTTAGTGTAAATAAAATGAAACATATTATATTTATAATGTAGCATTAAATGATTGAGTAACCAGGAATTCATTTTTTACTCAAACTGATAATCTGTGTGTCCTTTTTATTAGTATTTTCAACACACATACACACCAAGGTTCATGGTAGTCTAAGGTTGGGGTGGGTTATATCAAGTACTTTGTGTTATAATATCAAATATTAAGTATTGTTGATAAGTTGATTTATATTAGATTTATAAATATATTTAACTTTATACACCAACTTATCAACTCATCATTTTCATCATTCATCATGAGTTCCTAGTGAGTTGATGGGGAAAATTTTTGATTTAACCATAGGAAATTTCATCATGTTTTTCCTGGTGATGAGAATCATCATCATCATCATGTATCATGAATTTTTCAATTATCTCAATATATAATAGATAATAGAAGGTGGAAAAGTTAACATTAGATATCATTGGTTACTTCAATTCTTAATCCACTCTCCATGAAGATGATGATGATTATTAAATTATATTGAGTTTATTGAGTTGGAACTTTTTCTTTCAGGCTTTTCTTTTTCAATATATTTCTTTCACTTGAATCTATTGGTCAGTTGAAAACTGGACAAGACTATGAACACACATATATACAACTCAATTGGGGCTGATGGTTTGTAGTTATATTATTATTACATAAGTAAATCCTTGTGGGTACGAGATTAAAATGAGAATGAAAAAGATGATCTTGATGATGATGATGATATTTGGTTTGATAATGGGAAATGAAAGAATCAGAATTATCATCATTTAGTTAATATAATGATGATAATGATGATGATGAAGATAATGAGATGAGTAAGCGACAAAAACTAACAATAATCATAATCGTAATGATTAAGTGATGATAATAGAAAGCACTAAATGTTATCATAAATAATATAATTTAACCAAAGAAAAGATGATCATTTCATCCCCACCACACCCACCGAACTCCCACTTTTATCTTCATGATGATGATGATGAAAAAGATGATTATTCTATTCTCTTTGATTTTTTTTCTTCTATTCATTCAAGTGAAATACATTATCATCTTTGTAATCACTTGATCACAATGAAATAAACACTTTCACTCATCATTTACCCTTTGATTGGTCATCTCTCTCTCTCTCCCCATTCCGATGACCTCTAACCATGATGATGATGATGATGATGATGAAAACTGAAGCTGAATACAGATTATGATGAACAGTAAATGTTATTTATTAATGAAAAGGTGAAATACTGAGCCTGATGAAGAGAGAAGATTAAAAGTGAAGAAGAAGCAAAAAAACTAGTAAATTCTGACAACGAAAATGTTGTTACTCTGATTGTCTTACCTAACCAATGATTGTTATTATTATTTTCACCATTAGTATTAAATCATTGACTGTCTATTATAAGTTAACTTATTATTCTGATAGAAGTGAAATTATCATTCTGATTAGACCAACAATCATCATGAAAAGGTTTGATAACAATAGTGGATTATACTGAATACATTATGTATCCAGAATTCATGAAGAATTGTTTTTGTCTCTCTCTCTCTCTCTCTCTCTCTCTCTCTGGCTCTTTCACCATGATAACTCTCATTTTCTTGGCGACATTTTTATTTTCATTGTTTTCATTTTCTTATCTTCACCTTTTGGATACATGGTGATAATACAATGAGCATGATGATGGGAAATGATAATATCTCACTTGATATGATTGTTTATGTTGAATCATCATCACAAATTGTTTCCAATCAAGTAAATACAGGAGGGAAACAATATATAAGACTTGATGATGAAGATGATAATAGTTATTCAGGAGAAGAAAAAAAAAGTTCTGAGTATATGAGTTATATTATTATGTAAATAATGATTGAAAGTATTTCTTGTTTTCTGTGTAAAATAAGTAGCAATCAGTTGATTGTTGATTTAATTCAGTGAATCATTGAATCTGGTTACAAAAACAATTATCATCAAATAATATGTAATATATGAAATTCAAAAGGTAATCAGATATCATCATGAACGTTGAAACAACGAGAAGATAATTCATTTCAATTGGGAATTGAAACATTGTTTTCATCCAAATTTTTCCTATTCTTCAGCAAAGATTTTCATGGTTCTCTCTCTCTCTCTCTCTTTCTTTCTTGATCATAATAATCATAATGGTGATTAATCAATGATTAATTAAGTAAATTGGATTGTGATGAAAAAAAAAACAACAACAAACAAAGAGTTAAATGTTATCATTAGTTGTTTTATAATAAACAATTAACCAGAGCTCAGGATATTGATTTTTCAGGGGAAATTCATTTTATCATTCACATCCTCATCTCCATCATGAATAGCCTGAGTTTTATCATTCTATTTCAATCAGATAATGATGATGACGAGGATGACGATTAATATTAGAAAGAAAAGAAAGAGAAGAAAAAAAAAGAGTAAACAAAAAAAACTCTTCGCCTGAATTTCAATTGAATTTGATTAGAATCATTGATTATCCTTTTCCACGATTCCATTTAACTCACTTCTCTTACTTGATTTTTTTTCTTCTCTCTTTCTATTCTTCTTTCCTTTCACCATCATCTACATCCTCATCTTCATCTTTATCCTTTCTCTGTCGTATTTCTATCCTCTAATTCTGTGTGTTCGAATCTCTCTCATTCTCTCTTTTTTCTTCATCCTTTTTCCTCATCATCTTGGTAAATGCTTCGTTTAAATAAGTTTGTTCCCTTCCCTGTTGGTGTAACGGTGGATTTTTTCCCACCCTTCCCATTGAAACTTCAATGTAATATCATAGAAAAAGCTTAAGCTTCAAAGGATTAGGTAGATTAATGATAAAATGAACAAATTTTATCATTTGCAATAATTTTTTCTCTTGCACCCTAACGACCCTCCCCAGACCACTTTTCTCTCTCATTCGCTCACTATCTCATCTTCTTAGTCTCATTTCGGTTTCAATTCTCATCTCAGAGACATTGATACTATTGAAGATGAAGATGCTAAAGCTACTTTCAAGATTACAATTGATAATGTGTGAAGAGAGAGAGAGAGCAAGTGAGTGAGTGGGTGAGAGAAAGAGAGAGAGAGAGTGGTTGTAGAAAGAGAAAAGGATGAGGATAGAAAAAAAATTCTGATGAAATTCTGTTTCTTCCTTTTTCTCGTCTAATCAACACAGAATATTGATCAGAATATCAAAGAATTAAAGAAGAAAAAACTGGAATATAATGAAAGGAATTTACTTCTGTTCTTTTTCACTGGTCACTATTGTTATTTCTGTGGATGTTGAATGATGGTCATCATTTGATTCACTTGGAATGAAGGATCTCTCTCTCTCTCTCTCTCTCTCTCTCTATCTATCTTTATCATCAGTGTGGAAGAAGCAAAAAAAAACTAACAACATTGTGTCCATTTCCAACTGGACACACACACACATACTGAACACAAAAAAAAGTTGAGTGTCCAGCGGGAGAGGGAAATCCCTTGACTTTTAAACAATTTTCATCTTCCCATGAAAAAACATGAACTGCCAAAAGGTTTCATTCATTTTATTAAACTCATTCTGAATCGTCATCATCAATTGTATTATCATCACCATCGTCAGGATGATAACACATATGATATTATTGATGCCTCTTGGTTTACAATTTTGTGTCTGTTTGTCCCTCTAATTTTTTATCTCTCTCTCTCTCACCCACTCACTCTCTCTCTCTCTCTCTCTCTCTCTCTGAATTTAATGTTTGTTCATTGTTGTTGATTGTTGATTTTTGGATTTTTGGATTTCATTTCATTTCATTTTCTCATTCACTGTCTATTATTTTTACACTTTCACTCCCAGTTTCCATTGTTGATGGAGTATAAACTATTTCGATAAATGTTCCCACCTCTTGCTCCAGTGGGATCAATGGGTGGAGGTTCCAAGTGATGAAGAATTTTTTTTCGAACAAAAAAAAGTTTATTCTACTCTCTCACTCTCGATTGAATTACATTCGAACATTCGAACATTCTGTTTATCTGCTTTAGAATTGAATTGTTACTGATTAACATTGGAAAATGTTTTCTATTACTTGCATTTCGATTAATTATCTGGTCTTCGAAGGTAAAGTTTTTCTCTCTTTTTTTCTTGTTTTTCTACGAACGAAACTTCTTGTTTTCACCATTGTTGTTTTCTCTTATTTTATCGACTTTCTGGTAATGTTGTAAGAGAAAATCTGATTTGAAGGTAAACAATCAGAGATTAGAATTAAAGTCATTTCAAGTTTCAAGAATTATCGAAAAGTTCTGATTCAGATGATTAACTGTTATTCTTTAGATTGGTGAGAAAAAAAAGTTCCTTACAATCCTGAGAATCTTCAAAGTTAAGCTTCTTCTTCAATTCTTAGTTGATAAAGTTTTTCCATCCTACTTATCCAACAGAATAACACTTTTGATTACTAAGACTCAGTGTTTTTCCATGATGAGAGAAAAGTAAGAGTGGGGAAAAAAAGGTCAAGCTCAGCATTTGACGTTCGAAAAGAGAAAGAAAAAGAGGTAAAGTTGGAAAAGAAAAAGAAGAAGAGAAAAAGGAAGAGGAAAAAAAGGTTCAAGAACTGATGAGGAACATGATCAATATTAATATTATGTGGT